ATCTACCCAATTTACAATATAAGACATTACATAGCTTATTAATACAGCTTATTAATTAACACTGTGCAGTACTGGCGAAGGGATAAACATACAGGTCAATGGAACAGACTAGAGAAACCAGAAATAGATCTACACAAATATGCCAGAATGATTGTTTTACAAAGACTCAAAAGCAATTCAAAGGAGGAAGAAAAGCCTTTTCAACACATGGTGCAAGGACAATACATCTATAGGCAAACAAACAAATAAAAAGACACTCAACTTAAACCTCACTCCATACACAAAAATTTAACTCAAAATGGATCATAGATTTAAATGTAAGTTGTAATAGAATGAAACTTTTAGGACAAAACAGAGGAAAAAAATACTCAAATCTTAGGACTAGCCAAAGAGTTATTAAAATTAACACGGGAAGCAGAAGCCATTTAGAAAAAAAAAAATGATAAGTTGTATTTTATCAAATTAAAAAACTTTTGTTTTGTGAAAGACGCTATGAAGAGCATGGAAAACATAAGCTACAGATTGAGAAAAAATATTTTCAAACTATATATCCACTAAGAGTATTTATTTATTTATTTATTTAAGACTAGGATTCACTCACTCTGTTGCCCAGGCTGGAATATGTCACCATCACAGCTCATTGCAGCCTCAGCCTCCCAGACTCAAGCCTCAGCCTCAGGAGTAGGTGGGACTACAAGCCTGCACCACCACGGCCAGCTAATTTTTGTATTTTTTGTACAGACAGGGTTTCCCCATGTTGCCCATGCTGATCTCCAACTCCTGAGCTCAGGCAATCGAACTCCTGACTGAGCTTCCCAAAGTGCAAGGATGACTAGCTTGAGCCACTGTGCCCAGCCCAATATTTAGAATATAAAAAAGAACTCTCTAATTTCAACAATGAAAAACAAAAACCAGCAAAAGACCTGAACAGGTATCAAAGAGCATATATGGCAAATAAACACAGGGAAAGATGTTCAACATTATTAGTCAATAAGGAAACAAATTAAAAGCACAATGAAATAACACTACACACCTACAAAAATGGCTAAAATAAAATATACTGACCAAAAAATGATGGTGAAGATATAGTGACCAGATCATGGCTATATTGCTGGTGAAAATGTAAAATGGTGCAGCCACTTTAGAAAACTGGCAGTTTGTTAAAAAGCTAAACATGCAACTAGCCTGTGACCTTGCCATTGTACTCCTAGGCACTTATCACAGAGAAATGGATACTTTATGTTCACACAAAAACCTGGATGAGAGTGTCCATAGCAGTTTTATTCATAATAGCCCAAACTAGAAACAACTTACATGAACTTCCACGGATGAACAGTAAGATGGTCCATGGATACTAGGGAACACTACTTAGCAATAACAAGAAACAAACTTCTCTTGATAGACACAATTTGGATGAATCTTCCGATAATTATGCTGAGTGGAAAAAGCCAATCTTAAAAGATTAAATGCTCTATGATCCATTTACATAATATTCTTGAAATGACAAAATCATAAACATGGAGAACATATTAGTTATTGCCAGGAGTTATGGACAGGATGGTAGTGGGGAGGAATTAGTGGGTGTACCTTTTAGGGCAACATGAGAAATCCTTGTGGTGCAGAAACTGTATATTGTATACAAAATGTATATTGTATAATGTGTGACACAATGGTATTGTATCAATAAAGGAGCAGAATTGTAACCATTCTGAATCTTAACCGTGTCAATATCAGCAGTGGTATTGCACTATAGTTTTCCTAGAGTATTATAGGATGCTGAGGATACACAGGCTCTGTCTTGTTTCTTATAACTGCATGTGAATTTACAATTATTTTAAAATAAAAAAATTAAAATGCAATGCCTCTTCTGCCTGGCTCTTTCTCTTGCCTCTCGTTTATTTGGAAACTAACTTCTGCGTTGTAAGAATGCCAATCAATAACATGGACAGGCCATGTGTAGGTACTTGGGCTGATAGCCCTAGCTAAGTGCCCAGATAACAGCCAGTATCAAGCAGTAGACTTATGCATGAAGCCTACAGATGATTCCAGCCACCTGCTTTCCTGAGAGCTCCCTTGAGCTAATGCTGTGTGGAGCAAAGACCAGCTGTCCTTGGAAGCCCTCCCCAAAGTGCAGATGTGTTTGAAAAATAAATGCTTGCTGCTGTTTTTAGCCACCAGTTTTAGGGTGGTTTATTACATAATAATAGGTAATTGAAAAAAAAAGGGGGGGGCTTTGTCTATGAACATTCTACAGAAAAAGAGGAGAAGTGGCTTTTTCACTGAACCTTTGTGTTAGACAATAATGACCTTTTTTGAAGTATCATCAAATTGTACCTTTGAACAGATCAAAACTGGCTTCATAGTCTCAATTAGTGAGGTTTTATTATAGCCACCATATGTTCAAATTAAAAATTTGGAATATCATTTGGTTAAAGATTTTTATGCCACTTATGGGTACAGAAGGCAATTTGGGGGATATAGTTTGGATACTAAAATGGAATGTTGGCCGGGCACGGTGGCTCATGCCTGTAATCCCAGCACTTTGGGAGGCCAAGGTGGGCTGACCACCTGAGTCCAGAGTTCGAGACCAGCCTGGCCAACATGGTGAAACACCATCTCTACTAAAAATACAAAAATTAGCCAGGCATGGTGGCAGGTGCCTGTAATCTCAGGTACTTGGGAAGCTGAGGCAGGAGAATCGCTTGAACCCAGAAGGCGGAGGTTACAGTGAGCCGAGATCGCGCCATTGCACTCCAGCCTGGGGGACAAGAGCAAGACTTTGTCTCAAAAACTCATACAAGTTAGTATGAGTTTATTTAGGTGCAAAAGAAAATTTGAACTACCTGCCTAGTTTTTTCATAATATGCATTTTCCATAAACTTTTACAGACCCCTCTCGTGTGTGGATATGTGTATGTGTGTGTGTGTGTGTGTGTGTGTGTGTGTGTGTGTATTCACTTCCTCTTGCAAATGAATCAGACTACATACAAACCTTCTCACAAGTCATAAGATATTTTTATTCTGCTGTAATACTCTGTTGTGCTTAACATGGAAGATACAAGAAGACCAGATACAAAATTAGGCTGGACATAGGCAGGTAGGCGTCAGTTTCCTTCGACCTTCCGTTCGTCTTTCAAACAGTTCATCTAACATTTGCTAGTAGCCCTCTTATCTAGTTTAGACTTTTTTCACCTGGGAATTTCTGGCTTAGCTGGTCAGGTACTATATTTTCGCTGGTTCTTCCAATATGCCCTTGAATCATTACTCTTCCCTTTTTGATTCATATTTACCAAGACTGTAAGAAAGTTTCCTGAGTTTTGATACTTTCCATTTTTATGACTAGAAATAAAACTAGCCCAATAAATGTTTAAATTACTTTTTCTTCAGTTTGACTTTTGTTTCTTTTCCAGAAAATTCTACCACCATTTTCTCCCTTCCCTTCTTTCACACTGAGACACTTCTACATTGCCTGTTTTTGTGCCACCTCTGTGTCATATAGGACATGCTATGGAACAGGCATTTTCTTTTGAGTCAGCCCAACTAAATTTTGAATACTTGCTTCCCCTCTAACTAGATATGTAATCTAGGGCAAATAGTTTAAATTCCTTAAGTCCTGTCATTTGTAAAATGGTAATAATAATGGCCTATGATAGAATTAATTGAGGTATCCTTAGCTTGTTTTCTTTTTGTTCTAATTCTGAAACTCGACATTGTAATGAGTGGTGTTGTTTGGGTTGGATTGGGAACAGTCCCCAATTAAGGGAGAGGCTGACTAGGCATTTTGGAGGTCAAGCTGTGCAAGAAGACCAGAAAGAACAAAGCTCAGAGGTCCCTTGAGCCTGGTGCCTTTAGAGGCCTGAAGAAGAACAGATCTCACACTTTTTCTTTTGCTTTGTATTTGAAACTCTGTTGGGAGAAAGATAAAGGCTAGAGGGATGGAAAATTCTAACAATGGGAGAAAGGACAGCTGTAAGGAGAGGGAGGGGGAAGCAACTCTTCTAAAACATAAAAGGGTCTTGGGATATTTATGAAAAAATCGATTATTTCAAAAGACTCACGATCCCATTCTCTAACACATAATCTATTTTTACTTTCCCACATGCTATATCTTGGATCTTGATAGACTCAATTCGTTTGTTTTATGTGGTTTGCGATCTCAACAAAACAAAATTTGTGTTCTTTGACAAGGATAATGCATAATCCTGACCTCAATATTCCCTTTTAGTCAGAACCTACCTATTTAAAGTTATTTTCCATATGAACTATTGATGGTCTAAATAAGTTTAGCCTGTGTTTGTCCTAGTGTTTCATAATTTTAGTTACAGAAACGATGCAGATAAAACTAATTTAACATGCGTCTTCCTGACTCTAGTACGTTGAATCTGGCCAGAAAAACCACATTTGCTCCCTACATAGGTAATAGAAATCCATCATTAGCCAAATTGCTGCATCCCTTTGGACTGGGTCTATTAGCAGAGGTTGGAGTGGCCATTGGCCGGCACACGACACTTTAGGCCAGCAGGGGGCGGGTAAGCTCCAGGGCACTCGCCCGAGCAACAGGGGGCGTGGCTTCTGCTTCCTTGACTGACAGCTAAGGATGCTGGAGCGGATGAGGTAATAGGAGCCGGGGCAAGGAAGGCGTGGGGGTGCGCGCGCGTGTCTGCGACTGTGAGTGTGCCAGTGCGTGCGCAAGCCCCGAGACAATGCGTGTCTTCAGTTTGCGCTGCGGACACTGATCATGCTCCATTAAGGGGGAAAAAAAAGAGAGAGAAAATTACATTTTGGGGAAGGAGGCTGCAAAGTTGCGGCTGGGCTACAGTGGTGGTCCTGGGGCCGTGTCATGGCGGGTCGCTTCTCTGCATCAAGGAACCAGGGAAACACACGCGGGCGCGGGTTTGCCTTAGCGCCCCGCTTGGGAGGGGCAGTTCATTCTGGAAGGGACTGAGCAGAGCCACAGGGAGGGGGAGCTCTCCCCGCGGCGGCTACTGCAATTCGTGCGGTGAAGGGGTGGGGAGGGAAAGAGAGAGGGGAGGGGACCAGAGCGTGCCATTCCGAGCGCGGCAGTGCGGCGAGATCCCACCCCGGCGTCTGCAGAGCCCGAGGCGCAACTGGTGCGAGGGCTGGGTCCTCGCCTCCCCGTCAGCCCCAGCTCGCGGCCGCCAGGGCTCGGGCCGCGCGCCCGCCGAGTGGCTTTTGCAAGGCGGGGGCCTGTTTGCAGAGAGCTGGACATTTGCATGAAGCGACTCGACCCCACGGAGCAGCGGCAGCAGCGGCGGACCCCGGCGGCGGCGGCGGCGGCGGCGCGCGGTCCCAGCCCGGTGGCCCCGGTGTCCCGGACCCGGTGGATGCACGGCTGGGGAGGATCCCATGGGCCGGAGCTGAGGCTGCCCGGGGAGGGGGAGCGCAGGGCAGGGGGCGCGGTCGAGGCCCGGAGGCGGCGGCGCAGGAGGAAGCGGAGGAGGTCGGGCGCTCGGGCCGCAGCCCCGGGCTCGCCATGCTCCTGGCCTCGGCGGTGGTGGTCTGGGAATGGCTGAACGAGCACGGCCGCTGGCGTCCCTACAGCCCGGCGGTGAGCCACCACATTGAGGCGGTGGTCCGCGCCGGCCCCCGCGCGGGGGGCAGCGTGGTGCTGGGCCAGGTGGACAGCCGTCTCGCGCCCTACATCATCGACCTGCAGTCCATGAACCAGTTCCGCCAAGACACGGGTAAGCCAGCTGCCCCTGCCCCTGCCCCGCTTGCTCCCACCTTCCCAACCTGCCAGGGTACCTCCCTCCCTGTGAACCCACCTTGGCCACCTAGTCGTCACCTCTGTGCAGTAGTGTCACCAAGAGGTGGTGGGAGGCGATTCACTCCCCTGGATTCTCGCAGAATCCTCTCTCCCCTCTAAACGTCCATGCAAGTAGTATTGGTGTTCTGATTTTGCAAACCCAGCTTCCACCTAGTCGGTAAGAATCCACTCCCCACCCCCTTTCATGCCCCCCCCCTTTTCAGCACTTGGTGGCCCTAAGTCTTTCCATGTAGAAATTCTAGGGTCGCCCCAGACTACAGGCAGTTCCAGCCCTTCGCAAAGGCGTCCTGCCCTCATCCCGTGGCGGCCGGCACCTCGGCTGACCTGACCCTCTTTTGCCTCAGGCACGCTGGGGCTTGCCACACGTCCCCTCACCCCCGATCTCACTGCCTCTACGTCTCCTGTGTGGGATGCCTCCCGGCAGCTGGGTCCTGGATGTGGGAACTGGGGGAGGAAGAAGGGATTCCCCGGAGGTTCTCGCTGCAGTCGGGTAAGGGAAGCGCCGGGCTCCCTGGGAGGAGAGACTGGGGCTGGGGTACCCCGGACGCCGTGGCATTGGCGAATGCCTCTGCTACACACTACAAGCGCGGAAGCAACAGGCCGGAGCAGATGGAGAGAGGAGGGGGAGGCTCGGGGCTTCGGAATGCATGGCAGGGAAGCCGCTCCCTTTGTCTGTGGAGGAGGAGGAGGCAGATTCCTAAGGAGAAACTGTCCCCACGCTTCCTCTTAAAACCATAGCCCGTAAGGAACCCTTGGTCTCCTGGAGCGCCAAACTACTATCTTTTCATGAGAATCAAGTTGCCACTGTAGCCAGCACAAACCCGCTTCCCAGCTGACCTGCCTTTCCAGGTCAGAGCCAGGAAGGGAGCCTCCAGGATGGGGTCGTGGGGGGTGGGGAGTGAGGGTGCTGCCCAAGGGAGAGCAGAACTGCCCCTCTTTGCTCGGTGCTTGCTTAATCGATGACCTGGGAAGAGTTTCCGTCTCCTTCGGTGACAGGTGGGGAGGGGGCCATTGTTTCTGGAATTCTGGCTCGGCTTTCCCAAGAGTGTAACGGAGGAGCCTGGAAAAGCCGGTGTGCTGGGGAGGAAGTAGAGAAGATGACTGAGAGGCCCTCCCCAGTGAACAGCTGTTTGAGCAGAGTCTCTCCGCTTCCTTGGAAAGCCCCCACATCCTGTGTGCTAATTAGGATTGTCATGGGAAAGGGGTATCTTTCCACCCTCATGTCCCCATCTTTAGTCATAACTCCCAGCAACCCCTTTGCCAAGGACTCTGCGGACACTGGCTGATTGAGGAGAGCTTTCTGGGGAGAGGATTCTGGAAGTGTTAGAATCTAGAGGGGCTTAAACGGTGTGTGGAGCTGAGGGAGACTGGGAGGAGGAGAGAATAGAGAGGAATGTGGGGAGATTGAGAAAGAGGATTAAGTGTGGCTGAGGTAGGGGGAGAGAACGTCATTGTGCAACTTGGGTAAAGGTTGTGGAGGTGAGGGTGGAGGTGTCAGGAGGTGAGGATGGAGGGGGTGTGTGTTGTGGGGAGCTGAGCCGTGGAGGTGGAACCAGAGAGAGAGAGACCAGCAGTTAAAGCACCTGACAGGGGATTCCAGTCCCGGAAAAAAAAAAAAACAAAAAACAAAAAAAAACCGGGTTTTAGCTTTTCTATTTCAGACTAAATCTCTGCAGCATTTGGAAAACCATCCTTGTGACAGAAAGGTCTCAGCCCCTTTCCCACATTTGGGAAGGGCAAAGGTGGAATCTGGGTTTGGTGGGACTTAGGATAGGCAAGGTATCTACAAAGGTTCATGACCCTTTCTACAGAAGTGAAGTTGTAGAGAAAACTGGGTGGAAGGAAAGAAGCTACGTGTCCCAGGTCTGATCACTCTTACCTGAGGACAGGTTGAGTACTGCCTGGTGATGAGCAATTTAGTCAGAGGATGGCGCTCCCTGGACTTTAAACCTCAGGCAGAGAACTTGCCCTGAATCATTTTAAAGGCTGCCCCAGGGTGTGTTTATCATCAGACTGCTGTGGTTTCATCCACTCATTGCTAGAGTCAGTCAGCCATCCTGAGTACCTCTCTCCTGTGCGCCAGGCCCTGTGCTGGGTGCTCAGACACTGGGCTGAATTCCCAGAAAAGCTGGGTCTGTCAGGGCGCTTGTCAAAGAAGAATAAAAGAATCTCTGGGTTTCTGAGCTCTGAGCCTCCTCCTCTCCCTTCTCCACCAACACACACATAGTTTCTCTCAATCTCATTGATGAGGCCATGACAGGGTAGGAACTTTAAACCAGTGGCTCCCAGGCAACCTCGGCCAAGCCCTTGCAATGTTTAATTAAATTACCCACCATCCTTAAGCCATAATTCAAAGCTGGGAACCAGAAACATCCCCACAAACAAAAGAGAGCTGGAAGTCCCCTGCCCAGAGGCGATTCCTCTCCTTTTTTGTTGCCTCCTCTATATGGGGACATTTCCTGACATGAGAGCTTTGTGTTTTTAGAAGTTGCTTGCTCTGCTGCTGAGAGAGTCCTCAGGCTGTCCGCTTGCCTGGGCTCCTGACCTCATCTAGCCTGTCTCCAGGGAGATGGCTGGGAGGTTGCAGACACCCGTCTGCCCGCCTCTGTTTGCCCTGGGCCCTTCTCCTTCCCCAGACCACCTAGGGGTCTGTTCTCATTTGCATTCTATGCCAGTCTCCTCTAGGCATTTTGGGCTAGAGAATCTGGAAGAAGGGAAGAGATGGGGTGAGATAGATGGGACTGGCTCTTGGCCATTTCCAAAAGCCTCGGTGAGGCCTTCTCCACCTGCCATCATTTACCTTGACTGGGTTGCCCTTTTTCTGTTGTAGGGCAGTGACTGAAGAACTTTACTTCAGCATCACTTCCCCCTGTACCTTTCGACATGCCTGATCCTATCAACTCCAGGGTTTCAGTAGCAGGATGAGGAAGACCCAGGCTGAGGGTGGGAGAAACAACTGTGGCTCTCATTCCAGGCTCACTGCTTACTCCGTGCCCCTGAGCAAGTCTCTAAATGGTCAGGCCTCATTTTTTTCTTTTTTTCTTTTTCTAGAATGAAGAGCAGCATTAAGATTTCTTTTTTCCCTCTTTTTCTTTCCTCCCATCATGCACATCAACAGATGAATGGGATGGTCCCTGTGCCAGTGATGATACTGATAAGCATAGGGTGAAGGAGAGTTATTTCCAGCTCAGAGTTTCCTGTGCAAGTGTTGCCTTCTTTATGTCTTTTAAAGTGGTAAGAAGTGTCAGATGGAGAGAAAGAGGTTGGGTTGAATTAAATGATTTGACAGAAGCTGAGTTTTAGCCACCCCTGACAACGCCCCCTACCCTATGTTAGCATAGAAGTGGAGGAGGCAGGCATCCTGATGACCACATGATAGTTACAATGTGCAGGATGCACCATGTGACTGCATCATGCCAAGCACGTTGCACACACTATCTGGTTTGATCCTTACAACAGTCTTATGAAGAACCTATTATTATCCCCATTTTATAAGTAAGGAAACAAATTGAAAGTGATTAAGCTGCTCAAGGGTTTACTAGTCAATGGCAGGGCTGAGATTCTGAATGAGGTGCCCTATGTCCTATTTCTTCATTCAGTGAATAGTTATGGAGCAACTGTTTAGCGCAGGCACTGTTTCAGACATGTGGGATATAGCAATAATAGTGCATCCAAATGTTTCTTTGTCCTTGTGGAAAATTCTGGTGGGCGTAGAGGATGCTGGTAAGAGTGGCCTGAGACTTCTTGGACATAGTGCCTGCCCTGTAGGCAGTGAGTCACTTACATAGATGTGTGTAACATGTCCCAGAGACCTCAGTGCATGCCTGGAAGGCATTGCCTTCCACTTCCCAGAAGCCGAAAGATTTTGGGTGCTTTGTAACGCAGGTGGAAAATCAGTAAAAAACTGATTTTCTTTCTCCTTCTTCATCCTTAGTTTATGAACATCCTCAATCCCTATCCTACTGGAGCCCTTTTCCTTGCATTACTTCACAGATTATCTGGTTTATAATCCTGATTCTAGAAAAGCTGAGAACCAGCACATCCAAAATAAGGTGGTCTCTGAAAATAATCAGAGAATAAAATCTCACCATGTCTGTGGTCTCAACCCTTTGGTTCTGAGGTCTGCATGTTATCTCTGACTCTCCTCTAGCGTTGAATTGAACTCAACAACTTTCCCTCCAAAACCAGCTCTTCCTCTTGACATCCTTCTGACACCATTTTACCACTTTCCCATGGTCCAAGCCCAGGATTCTTTGACTCATTCTGTCATTTAGAATCTTATTTGGGCACCTAATAGGTACAGGCACATAGATCCTGTAGCCCAGCAGCTGAAATTTGAGTGTACCTGTGCACCACTCAAGGTGGCCATTCACATGCAGATTCCCATACCCAGGCCTGGGAGACGCTGGCCTGTAGGTCTCAAGGGCATTGCTGATTCAATTCGTACCCCTGGAGATTCTGATGGAGGCAATCTTCAAACCTCACTTGGAAAGCATTTAGCTACTGATGATCAAGTCTTACCCATTTTTTTCTCTGTAAGGTCTCTCCTGTTTGTCACCTTCATTCCATTTTCTATGCCAACACCTTTCTACTCACCTGGAGCTAATGGACAGAGTGGCTCTGGTCTTGCCCCTCTTTTCTTAACAAACTTTAGTGGCTCTTCGTTGATTACAAATTAAATCTATCATAGCCTGCCATTTCAGACTTTCCATACCCTCTCTGGCTCTAACATATCTTTCCAGGATTGTCTTCTTCTATGCCTTATATTTCCCTCCAATCTGCCAAACAGAGGCCACCTCTATCCTCATGCATTCCTTTAGAGTTCTCTGACACCCTTCACTCCACAACTAGCCTTGAGGTCCCTTCTTCTGAAACACTGTCCTTTGCCATTTTTACCTGTCAACATTATTTTTGTTATACGAGCCCATGCCATTTGTTATTCATTTCTTAAAATGTTCTCCACAGCTTGAAATGCTTTCCAAACCATCGTTACTTCATTGATTGAATCACTATTTTGGGGTGTCTAGGACATGCAGGCATAGAGAATACCACTATGAGCACACGCCTTGATGCCCATTCTCATGGGATTGGGAGTCTAGTGAGGGGGACAGATGTTCATCAAATTAGACACATAAATACATATGTAACTGCACAGTGAGATGAGTGCTATTAAATGTTTTAAAAGGAATGAGAATTTGACCTGGCCAGGACTGCCTAGGGGGCTTCCTTGAAGAAATAAGCCCTTCCTGTAGGAAGAGCTATGGAAAAGATGCCAGAGAGTTTTGGGGAGGAACCAGCATTGTGAAGAGGCCCCGAATCAGAGAAGCCTAGCAATGAGGAGAGATTGAAGGCCCGTGTAGCTGAAATGTGGGCAGAGTTAGGCTATGAGGGGGCCATGTATGTTGGTGGGTAGGGGGGATTTAGATTTCAACCTAATGGGAAGTCATGGAAGGGATTTATGAAGGGAGGGGACGTGGTCGATTTTCCTGCCAACATGCATTTTGTTGGCATTCTCCTTGTGAAGCGTTCTGCCTCATAAATAGTCATTCACACACTTGTCTTCCAACCCTGTTTTAGACTGAAAGCTACTTCAGGAATGCTTGAGTCTGCATTCCCCATAGCAGTTAATGAGTACTCAGTGATATGTGATAAATGATTAAATATTAAAGTAGCCAGAAATCTTCAATCAGTCTCAGCAGTTTGTGGAGCCCTTGCAACTGCCAGACACTGCATTAGGCACTAAGAATGCAAAGAGCTCCACAGTGGCATTCCTGCCCCTGCTTAAGGCAGGCTGGTATGAAAAGTGTTGCTGAAACATTGGTGCACATCAGCATAGTCAAGCTACACAGCTCAGGCTTCCTGAGGGTGGAGCCTGGGCTGGGAGAACATTCTAAGAAATAGTTGGAGAATGGTTTAAGACCTGAATGGTAAGGAGAATTTTCAATAGGTAAAAATGGCAAAGGAGGCCATTTCAGTAGAAGGGACCTAGCGAATTGTGGGGAAGGGAGTCAGAGAACTCTGGGGGAATGCACGAGGATAAAAGGGGCCTCTGTCAGGCAGGAATAGAAGAAAACACAGAGACTGAGGAAAACAAACCTAGAAAGGTATATTATAGGTCCATGGCGTAGCTTCCAGAAGTTCTGGGACAACTCTCAGGCATCGCCAGGATTGATAACGGTATTGTGTTTAAAAAAAAAAAAAAAAAAAAAAAGTCTTTTAGGCACATCTGTGGGGGGATTAAATGCACCGTCCCTGCCACCCTGGAGAGAATATGAAATAGTGCCATTGAAACTCTCTAAACTTAAATTCTTCATTTGTGAAAGGTATTTCTAGGATTGCTATGAAATTTACATGGGATATGTGAGGTGCTTTGTAAGTAATAAAGATTGTGCAAATACCAATTTGAGAGCAGCAGAACGCAGCCAAATGACTAGGCAGATAGGGGCAGGTCTCCAGTGAAACCCTACCTTCAAGCCAAAAACAGCCTGAAGGCTGAAAGAGTGGACTGCTGGTCCAGGATGAAACCCGCAACCCAGCGTGAGAACTTCTGTTCCTGTTTCCCTACCCTTTCCCAATTGATTCTTTCTGAATAATGCCTTTCAACCAATCAAATGTTGCCTTTTCCAGTACTACCTACAGCCTGCCCCTCCCCTATTCTGAGCCTATAAAAGCCCTGGACTCAGCCACATTGCAGGGACTTTCCCAATTTTGGGTAGGGGGACCACCCCTGGGTCCCCTCTCTGCTGAAAGCTGTTTCATCACTCAATAAAACTCCCCACCTTGCTCACTCTTCGATTGTCAGCATACCCTCATTCTTCTTGGGTGTGGGACAAGAACTTAGGAACTGGTGTGCAGCCAAACTTGGCCCAGGTGGGCAGAGTGAGCAGGGCATCTCCTGCCATCTCCTGCAGCAGGCTGTGTGGCCGAGTGAGGCCTAGGCAGGTTGTTGCCGGCCAGAGGTCCCTGGCTTGCAAAGTGACCGAGAAGAAAATCCTGTGTCAGTTATATAGAAACTTTCTCTCTCTTTCTTACACCCCTCTACCACCCTACACACACACACACACACACACACACACACACACACACCCTGAGCTAAACCTTCCCCATGGCTTCTCCATCCTGCTTAGACATATAATAGAAAATAAATTACAATAATAATCACCAACTTTCATTGAGCTCTTGCCATGGTGACAGGTGCTATTTTTGAGTTTTATATTCATTTCTTCATTTAATCCTCAAATCCACCCTTTGAAGTCGCTACCCGGGGCCCAAACAGATGAGGAAACTGAGGCTTAATCACACAGCTGGAAGGGACAAAACCACCCCTGTTGGCTCCAAAGCCCATACTCTTTGCCCCCAGCAAGCTGGGCACTTAGGAAGGAAATGGAGACAAACCAGGGAACTATCGCCTCCCCCTCCTCTGCTCCCCCATCCAGATACCCCCATGTTCCCCAGCAGAGGCCCTGGTGATGAATAGGGGATTGTTCTGCTTCTCCCTTGTGCCTCTGAATGTTGATGTTTGGGTCATTAAGGGGCTTGGAGTTGGGGTGGGGGGCGGGTTATGACCCTGGCAAAGGCCTGAATAGCCATTGTTTCTTTTCTTCCCTCCTTGAATGGGATTCTGTCCCCAGTCTTGGTATATCCCTCTGGGTTGGAGGAGGGGTGGGTCAGAGGCTGGTGAAGGGAGCCTTTTCTCACCACTTTGATGGATAGAGCTTAAGCTGACAGATGCAGAGATTCCAGCATCCCAGGGGCCCTCCCCAACCTCCCCAACCTCCCCACCCTACCCTGAGCCAGGCATCTTTAGCCTTAATGTTGATACCATGAAATGAGCCCTGGTTGAGAATGGGTCAGGATTCAGGTTTTGAGTGGGGAGAAAGAGGTAACAGTTACAGGTTCAGTTCCCTTGCAGTCCTGACAGTTCATATCTGCTGTACCATTACCGTGTAATAACCCTGACCTCTTCCTGGCCCCAAAGTGAGACTGTCAAAATTAAGACAATCCTATCTTTAGGAGGGTTTGAGCTTCTTAAAGAAAGACATCAGATAAATATAAAATTATTCTCATGACCATTGAGAATGTTACTTTTGCTGCTGATATAAGACTTAATGTTGGGAAATATGAGAGAGTTTTCCCAACCTGATTTCCCGTCTCCTCATAGTAACACACCATTTTTTTTTTTTTTGACAGCATTCATAAATGTATAGAGATCCAGCTCCCTCACAGCCACTTCTGGGCAGCCTTCCCGCGTGGAGGCAGAGTCTTCCCTCAGTCCTCTAGGCTTCCACAGCCCTGCATTCTTTTCCTTATGACTCTTGGCACAAGAGCATTTAGAGGAACAGAGGAGAAGGAATATGATCATTATGAGCACCTACTGTCTGTCAAGGGCTTTACATGCCTTAGTGCATTCATAGGGGTCACATGAAATCCAGAACCTGGCATGTACAAATACATATTTGCTGAATAAATAAGTGAGTCATATTTAATTTGTACAAAAACTCTAGGAAGGAGTTATCCTGTTTCCCAGGAGGGAAAGGGAGGCTAAGAGGTTCTATAATAGCTAGTAAATGGAATGAATTTGGCTGCAAACCAAGTTGTCCTGACTACAAACCAGGAGGCAGTCTTTCTGCTACCTTACACTGCCACCCATATCCTTCATGTCACAACTCATCTGCTTCTACCGTGGTTGGACTGTAGACGTCTTAAAGGGAGAAATGAGTTTCATTCAAAGCTGGCACTTCAGGCAGTGTCATGCCCAGTACACAGTAGGACTTGTTTAATGTTTGCCATTATTGCAATGGCATGACTTGTTAATGTCATGCCATTCATGTAATTGCATGCTGACTCTGACCTCTCCCCTATCCCACCCTGGCAGGAACTCTCCGCCCAGTTCGCCGCAACTACTATGACCCCTCCTCAGCCCCTGGGAAGGGCGTGGTGTGGGAGTGGGAGAACGACAATGGCTCCTGGACGCCCTACGACATGGAAGTGGGCATCACCATCCAGCACGCCTATGAGAAGCAGCACCCCTGGATCGACCTCACTTCCATTGGCTTTAGCTATGTCATTGACTTCAACACCATGGGCCAGATCAACCGTCAGACCCAGCGCCAACGCCGCGTCCGCCGGCGCCTCGACCTCATCTACCCCATGGTCACGGGGACCTTGCCTAAGGCCCAGTCCTGGCCAGTCAGCTCTGGGCCAGCCACCTCGCCCCCCATGTCCCCCTGCTCCTGTCCCCAGTGTGTCTTGGTGATGAGTGTTAAGGCAGCTGTGGTCAATGGCAGCACTGGGCCCCTACAGCCACCAGTGACCCGCAAGAACTTGCCCCCTCCTGGAGTGGTCAGGCTGCCCCCACCACCAGGCTCTGGGGCCAAGCCACTGGACAGCACAGGCACCATTCGAGGCCCGGTGAAGACCGCCCCATCACAGGTGATCCGGAGACAAGCCTCCAGCGTGCCCACTGGGACAACCGTGGGCTCTCCTGCCAGCCCCCCAGGACCCAACGGCAAGACCGGAAGGGTGGCCCTGGCCACCTTGAATCGTAGCAACCTGCAGCGACTGGCCATTGCCCAGTCTCGGGTGCTGATCGCCTCTGGGTAGGTGCTTCCACAGCTGCCTCAGAGCATTTACTCACAGCAGAGATAGGCTACAGCAGATCTTCTGGATCAGAAGAAGGAGGGGCTGCCAAGACTTAAGCTTCTGCTCATCTTGTGCTGACCCCTGGCTGCCGGTGAAGGCAGCATGGTGTGGTGGATGAGGGAGGGTTTGATGCTCAGCCTCTGATCTGGACTCTGGTTGAGACTGGCTCTTACTAGTCATATGATTTAGGACCAGATCCCTAACATCATGGAGTCCTAACTTTCTCATCTGTAAATGCTGGCAGTAATACTCCTGTTAGGGTGGCTGTGAGGCTTAAAGAAGATTGTGGCCAGGCGTGGTGGCTCGTACCTGTAATCCCAGCACTTTGGGAGGCTGAGGCTGGAGGATCGCTTGAGCCCAGGAGGTCAAGGCTGCAGTGAGCTGTGATCGTACCACTACACTCCAGTTTGGGTGACAGAATGAGACCCTGTATCAAAAAAAAAAAAAAAGAAAGAAAGAAAGAAAAAATAAGATTGTGCCTACTAAGCAATAATGGGCAACATTAATTGAACTCCCACTATATTATAGTTTGGGGTTTTATCATCTCATGTAATCCTTGCAACAACTCTATGAAGTAGGCAGGTAGGCATTACCCCATTTATGGGTGAAGACAGTAAATGTTCACTTGTTCAAGGGTACATAGCTAATCATTGGCAGAGAATGGGATTCAGACTTTAGGACATCTGACACTAGAGCCCATATTCTGACTCTGCTGTGCTCCTCTTCTACCAAGTACCTACACAATGCCCAGCGTTCAGTAGGTGCAAAATGAGAGTTTCTTTCCTGTAGTCTCTCTGGAAGCCAGAGAGGTGACTCCACATTGAAATACTGGCCTCTTTTTAGTGATGACTTATTATGGGCCAGGCACTTCCCATACATTGTCTCAGTTATTTCTGTGACAACCTGTTGATGCTGTGGGTCCTGTTTGTATTGCTTTTTATGTTCTTGATTTTCCTGATCATAAAATTGAAGTGACCCAGGTTCATGTGGTGGCTGCAAGCTTTGCCTGCCAGCCCCTGGTGTCTTAGCATCTCACAGCCACCCAGTCTTCCCTTCCTGTCTCCAGAGAGGCCTGGCTCTCCTTGTTGCCCCTGATCCCAGCTGATCAGGATGGTTTTTGATTGCACTGGGTGCTTAAGTCTGAAAGTCCAGGCCGCCCTAAGAAGGTTGTTTTGATACTCGGCTGGGTCCCTGCACACAGAGGTTTGGTACTGGGAGGAGGAATGAAGGAGGGTACACCATAGAGTGGGAGGAGTGCTGGATTAGAAATCCAGATGCCCAGCCCCTACTGCTACCGCTGTCACTGAGGTAAGCCCCAGAATCTTTGCAAGATCCAGTGGCCTTACCTCCTCCATGGAGTTATCGTGAAAATCTCCACCAAGGGAGTTGGCCGTTGGCAGTGCGTTCTCTTACTCTGTCATCTGAGTGTTACGCACAGACATCCTGCTCAGAACTGATTTCCCAAGGAGAAACACAGAGCTCATGTATTATGCAGTAGGGGTTGGAACCCAGGTTTTGGTCTCCTGATCCACTGTTCTTTTGGCTAAAGCCCAGCTCCTCATTGTACGCAAAGGCAGTTTATAAAAGGCAAAATGCTGGCGAGATGCGTGAGATTTTCATGACTTCCCCTGAGATGGCAGAAGTGTTTGGGAGCGGGGAATGGATGGCTAAACCTTGCTACTGCTTAATTTCTCCCCAGTTTCACACAGCACCATCCTGGGGGCCTGTGCTGGATAAGAACACATCCTCCAGAAACTGGGACTGTCTGGGCTCGAACCCAAGTGCCTTGCTGTGTCACTTGGGGCAAGATTTGCATCCCCTGTCTTCAGTTTCCTCACCCGTAAGATGGGATAGTAATAGTAACTTCCTTTTACAGTTGTCATGAGGATCAAATGACATGCTAAGTGTATACACTTAGCACAGTACTTGACACATAAGAAGAGTTCAGTCAGTATAGGCTGCTGTCATTGTGATTGCTGTTATTATTGTTAACAGGTATCCATGTAGTTGAAGTCAAAGCTAAGTAGAGTCTCACATCCCACCTTGTCTCTGGTGCCCTTGACAAATGCCAAGTGACTTCATGCCATCACTGAGGGAGAGGCACCCAGGTGGCTTTGAATCTTGATGAGGGAGTGGAGTCAGCAGCTTTATGTATCTTCTTTATTTCCTCTGCCCGCTAATAGAATTGGGGCTAGAGAATGGGTGGAGGTCTGGGCAGCACAGTTTCAAATGGGCTAGAGAAACAAGTTGTTTTTTTTTCTCTACTCTGTTTTCCTGACGAGGGAGGCCCCCGCTTACTCCTCTCGATCTTCCAGCCCTTTGCTTTTCACCTCTTACCACCTCTCTCACCCCCACTCCCATCTTCTCCTCCAGCCTTTCTTGGCCATTTAATTAGCGTGTTTATGCCCTTTGTCTGGCATTGCCATCAACCTTCTGTCCCTGCGGGGCCCCTTTCCCCCTCCTCTCTCTGCCCATGACCTCTTCCAGCAACTTTCCCACGGAAAAAGGAAGACCAGGGAGGGCGGGAGGAGTGGGATGAAGAGAAAGGTTTGGGGGCAGGAACAAAAGATCCTGTGAATTATTCAGAGACAGAAGCAGGGGGTTTCTAAAGGGAAGCAAGAAAGGGGCTGTGCAGTGGAGGCAAGCGCCACCCCTCTAGCCCCCTCCTCTAGAGCTGAGGATTCTCTGTCTCCAGCTAGGCCTCAGTTGCCGTAGAGACAAGATCCTTGTCCCGCTGGAGGATTCCTGGGCTGGTGCATAACTCCGAGAAAAACACTGCTTCTCCTTGTGGTGCCTGCAGCGATATCCTCCCTCCCTCAAAACTCCTTTCTCTGCCACCTTGCCAGCTCTCTTCTCTTGTCTTAGTTTTATGTTTTAGCGACAGAAACAAAACCTTGGACCCTGCATATCGGGGAACAGCCCAACTGAATGGGGGCAGAGAGTGTCTTCTGATTGGCCAAGAAGGGGTTAGCACAGACAGTTTTGGCTGAGGGAGTTGCCTGAAGGATGTGAGATGCATGCGTGCCATTGGGTTGCTGTTTTCTAGGAGAACTCAGGCTTTTGTAGCTGGGGCCCCAACTGGGTGTGACCAGATGGGACTTGATGGGCTGTTCTCCAAGGTTTAACCAGTAATAGTGGGGGAGGTGAGATCAGGTGTTGTCAACTCAACCATCTCCAGTACTACCCAGCACTCAGCTTTCTGCTGGATACCCATGACCTCAAGAATCAGAATCAGAAAATTGGAACATTAGAGCAGAAAACGTCTTTCTTCAGCCCAATGCCCCTTTTATACGTGGGAGGTAAAAGCATAAACAAGCACCCAAACTTGCATAGGGCTCAGCTGTTTACACAGTTATTTGACCTAGTTCCTAAATCCTCACAGGGCCCCCGTAGGGCAGACATTTAGGATGCGCTGTTCCCAGCTGTGGTAACTCAGAGATGGTCAACAAAACGCAGAGAGGCTGTGTGGTTCTCCCAAAGGCAAAGCAGGTCATTGCTGAGCAGGGCTAAAACAGACTCCCTGACGCCAGTGCAGAGCTCCTTCCATTACACCGTTCTGGATTTCACAAGCAAATATCCCCCCTTCTCCCCAGGCCCCTCCTTCCCAGAGCCCAGTGACAAGCCCACCTACCATGTCTTTCCTCTCCTCAAGTGGCAGGGACATGTATCTCTGCCACCTATTGAACCCACAGTCTTCTTGTGTGTCCCAGGGGCGCATGCGGGCCCTTCCCTCCCTCTCTCCAGACCTTGCCCCTGAGTTCTTGAGCTGCCTGAGACGTGTGGTGTTCCGGGGATTGGATTATTTCCTGGTTCGCCAGATTGGGTGTGGAAACCTGCCAGTCCAGTTTATGGGAACAAAGGTGGCTTTTGTCACCCAGATCACAGCTACTTATCAGCTGGAGTGGGGGGTTTGGAGATGGCGAGGGAGAAGGCAGGTGCATGACTGAGCCCTGAGTGCTGCCCCCTGCTGGGGAGCTGGGAGCAGGACACAGGAAGCCAGGTCTTTTCCCAAAACCTCTCCGGAAAGAGCTGGGGAAGGAGAATCTGCCGTAAGTGGGGGACTCAGGGCTTGGGTGGCCCCCTTGTTCTCAGATATTGAGATGGGAAGTTGTCAACCAGTTTCCCTGGCATCTTCTAACCCAAGACCCTCACAGTTTTACAGATGAGGAAATTGAAGCTCAGAAAAGCTAACTACCTTAGCGAGAAACTCCCGTCAGGGATGGGACTTGAACCTGATTTTCCTGACTCCCCATCCACCATACCATGCCTGGCCCTGGGGAGCAGGTCACAGAGTCCAGAAGCAAGTCCTTTCTTCTTTTCTTGGCCCAGTTGCCCTTGTTTTGTATTCAGCTTTCTCTTCCATCCTCCCATCCTGGTTTGATTTATCCTGGGGACAGTTTCAGAAGAAAAGTGGCTTTGGGTGGCCTGGTGAGACACAAACATTCCCATCCCCACATCTGTTCTTTCACATCCATCTCCCAGCATTGGTGCACATGTCGTCATCCCTGGGAAGGGACAGAGCCCCGGGCAGGCTCACAGTAACTTAGAGCTGGGGAAGCACCTCCCTTACAGACATGAGGGGAAGAGACAGACCCCATTGCTTGGCATGGAGGTCCCGTTGCAGCTTTCCCCATTCCTAATGGTGGGTTTATTCATTACGCTCTCTGAGTTTCTGATCTATGTTTGCACTGTGGGATGTTACAAGGATTACATAAACACAAGAGTGTGGCATAGTAAATGGGCTCTGGTGCCAGATTTTCTGGCTTAGCTGTGTGATCTTACCAAGTTTCCTTAACCTCTCTGTGCCTCAATGTAGTTGTCTCTAAAATGGTGTTAATAAGTGCATCTCTTGCATAGGATGTTGGAAGGATTAGACAGGTTTGTATGCTGTGAGCAGTTGGAGCCAGTCTTTGGAGGAGGTGAGCTCTGTGAATGTTGGCAACTATAACATGTGAGTGAAGAAGGGCCATGAACTGTGTGTTCACTCCTGACCCCCAGCATTGGGAATAGCCAACAGCACAAAGTAGGGCTCAATAAATACTTTTTGGATGGATAAATCAATACACAGATATTCTTTTTTCCCTCCTCTTGCTTTCCCAGCACCGTCCTGCCCCCACAGCAGAGCTGCTGGCTTCACAGGCTGTCTGCCTCCTGGAGTCATCTGTGACCGGGTCCATTAGCCTCTCCAAGCCCAGCTGCAGGAGTGTGGGTGGCAGAAAGGATGGCGCAAGACCCAACCCCATGTGTCCCATATTTTCCGAGTCAGCGCTGTGGGGGGTCGTGCCTTTCCCAGGCAGCTGCGCCATCTCCTCTCCAGCCTGGCTGGAGTTGCTGGGGAAAAGGATAGAAAGGGGAGAAGGCTTTGCCTCGTATTTATATACGTCTCAGGGAAAAGGAGACTTGACAGCTGTTCTAGCAGAGGTTCCAAATGTTTTGCTGGGGATTACTACATCTGCATCCTCTCAGGAGCTTTGGGAAATGCAACTTCTTGTGCTCCACAGGTGGATATTCTGGTCTACATCTGGGACTCTGTCCTTCTAAAAGCGTCTTAGGTGACTCTTGTGTGTACCCTGGTTTGAACTTGCTTCTTTGTGTTTTCATTCCTTCAACAAATATCAGTTGAATGCCTGCTAGTGTCTGGCTCTGAACAAAACAGACAAAGATATTTTGCCCTTGTAGAGCCTGGATTCTAGAAGGATTTTCCTTTAAAGGAAAATCCTTTAATTTCCTTTAAAGGATCCTAAGTAGAGCAGGAGTCCTGGCGTGGGATGCAGGGGTGGGTAGCAGTATTCAATACGATGGTCTCAGGAACCTCACCTGGTAGGTAGGATTTAAGCCAGGACTGAAGGAGTTGTAGGAGGAAACTAAGCAGTTGTCTGCTGGAAGGGCATTTTGGGTACAGGGAACAGCATATGCAAAGGCTCTGAGGCAGGAATGCACCTGGCTCCTCGACAGCTGAGTGACATGAGAGGAAGCAAGATGAATAAGAGAAGCTGGGTGGCAGTGTTGGCAGATCGTGCCGGGCTCTGTAGGCCTTGCTAGGACTTCCGCTTTGACTCTGAGTGAACTGAGGAACATAGTTCTGAGGTTCTGAGTGGTGGAGTGACACAGCCTGACTTAGGTTTTGAAGATGCCACTTCCTGCTGTCTGCTGTGTTATGCACTTACTGCATTTTATTAGAATTAAATACTAGTCCATTTTGTTCCACATGTCAAAATGACATTGTATCTGCTCTTTCCTTTCACAGGGTCCCCACAGTCCCAGTGAAGAACCTAAATGGGTCCAGCCCTGTCAACCCTGCCTTGGCAGGTAAGAGAAACCCCAGGGTGCTCTGGGTTAAGGTAGAGAAATCAGAGTGATGAAATAGGTCATGAGCATTTGTGGGAAAAAAGGAGAGAATCTGGATATTAATGAAAGAAATGGTGATTTTAGGAATTGCATGGGAAGGGTATGAAGAGTTTGGAGAAGAACTTATTACTGAAAGGAAAGCATGCAATTGAAGATAAGTGAGTGAATAAATAAGTTTCTGGGGAAAGTGCAGGGTAGAGAATCCAGGAATTATGAGAACTTTCTCCTGGAAAGGAGGAGAGTAGGTTAATGGGGAAAGAGGAATTTGGGGAATGTTGAGAGCTAAGTCTCCAGTCCTTCCTCACCCATGCCCTGCCCCTTCCAGGAATCACTGGGATCCTCATGAGTGCAGCGGGGCTGCCTGTGTGTCTCACCAGGCCACCAAAGCTGGTCCTACACCCACCCCCCGTCAGCAAGAGTGAAATAAAATCCATCCCAGGGGTTTCCAACACAAGCCGCAAGACCACCAAAAAACAAGCCAAGAAAGGTACCAGCCTCTTGTCTTATGGGATACTGAGAGTCAAAGACTTGGCTCTCAGCCCTGACTCTGCCTCCACCTCCAAGGGTCATAGCCACAGCTTCACCCTCTGTGCCTCAATCTCTGCATCTGCTGAGTGGGCCTAACCAGTAAACGTTGATAATTATACCAAAGCTGATTGTGTATGGATCATATAGAAACACCTTGAGAAATAAAAATATGTAGTGCAAAAGTGTAGAAACATAAAAATATAAGGTGTGGTACAAAGAAAATATGTTAGAAGAGAAAGATGACTTTGGCATTGGAACCAAAATAGACTGGAGTCAAATCGTACCTTTGTTTCTTGCAAGTTGTGTGACCACATGGAGCCCCTATTTTCTCATCTTTATAATGAAGTAAAAATAGTCACAACTGGTATAACTGGTACCCAGTAGGTATATCCTGGAATGCATCAATGACAGGATATAGTCACTGTCCTGTGTCCCCCTAGAATGTACAGATGCTCAGAAATCCTCCTTTAGGAACCCCCTCCTACCTGCACACAATCCGGCAAGTAAGGGGTCAATATCTGTACCTTCCTAGCATTGCAGGACCCCAGCTTAGCTCTGTGGCTGGTCTTTCTGGTCACTGGCATTAGTTGTTCAATTTGACCATCTCCCTAAGCCCCAACCTTGCAAACTTGTGAAGTTTAAATTGGATCATATGTGTGTGGCACTTAGCCCAGGGCCTGGCAAGAAATAGGCTCTTAATTACTAGAGCTTAATTCTTACAAGAGAAGCAGGGCAGCCAGAGGAAAGGGCCTGCATCGAAGCTTTTGGCTGTTGCATGATCCACTTCCTCAAACCCTTGTCCCACTTTTCCAGTCTATCAAGATTTCCCTGCTTAAATGAGCTCAGTTGCCTTGCTTATAGTCTTATAGGAAATAACAGCATTTTACACTTTCCCACTCTTCCTGTTATTATTCATAGTGCACATCGGGCCCTTATCTGGCAGAGAGCTAAAGGGCATTACATCCATTTGCTCATTCAATTGTCTAAGCAGCCCTTTGAGGTAGGTGCTATTGCTCATCCCCATTTCCTAGGTGAGAAAACAGAAGCTTAGAGAAATTAAGGGAGTGGCCCAAGGTGGCACTGATCATTTTTCAGGCTGTATCATCCCATCCTCTACCTTCAGGTTGGGCTACCTTTTAAGAGTCCAGTCCCCCCAAAAAATCCCTAAATCATTGCAGCCCATCAGGATGCTTCCCAGAGGATCACCCTTCCCCTGCTGCAGGGCTGTGCTTGCTGGTGGTGACAGTGTCATCCACAGCCAGGAAAGATTGTTCTGGAGTTGTGGGTCGTAACTTCCTTGTTTCCCATAAAAATAATCTCACGTTGACACCACATTATAAATTGAGACTATACTTAGCAAATTGTAAAATGAAGGTGGTAAGTGCCTAACGTCTATTTAACGTGTAACCGTTTACAAAGTGCTGTTATCAAATCATTTGATTACAAGGAAGAGAAACCCACTCAAACCTTCTCAATTAAAAAAGTGGGTTTGTTGAAAACAGGCAGAGAAATGTCAGAAAAGGGACTGCAAGAAGTAAAGCTTTCTCTTCAAACCATCTTACTTGCTTTTGCACAATCCATACTCTTCCCTGTTCTTAACTTCCATTGCAGAAGGAATTCCTCCCCTTTTTGCTTTTAACTTGCCTAATAACTTCCCCCTCTGTCATGCCTAGCATGGCAAGGCTGTTTGATCTCTTACCTCTGCCTTGGTGACCCAATGAACCTCCTGTCTCTGCAGGTAAAACCCCAGAGGAAGTGCTAAAAAAATATCTGCAGAAAGTCCGGCACCCACCAGATGAGGTGAGTTCAGAGTTAGGAGAACGGGATTCACCTCTCCATCACCCACACGCATTTCCTCTGCCGTTGTCAGTTTCTACGGGATATGGCAGAGGCTTCATTCCAAGCTCTGATGGGTACAGAACTGGTCAGAGCTGACACTGAGGGTTCAAGGGCCATGGTCCAGAGCTGCAGCTGCACCTCAGTCTCTCCCGCCTCCCCCTTCAACCTAGTGCTGGTTGATTTTAAGCTACCTTAACATGGCAGTCTCAATTTCAGAAAAGCAGTATGGTAAGCCATAAGAACTCACCTTAAAATGGGTTTGATACAGAACAGTTGTTCTCAAACAGAGACAATTTGGCCCCTGAGGGAACATTTGGCCATGTCTGGAGACATTTTTGGTTGTCATTATTCTCAGGAGAGGAGATGTCACCAGCACCTTGTGAGTAGAGCAGAGGCCAGGGATGGTGCTAACCACCCTACAATGCCCAGGACAGTCCTCACAGCAAATAATTGTCCTCCCCAAAATGTAAATAGTTCTGAGGTTGAGAAACCCTGTTGGACATTTATTTAAATAGCAGTCCCTCTGGAACAGTTAAAACACAATTCCTTTACATTCCTTTACAGGTTCACCTCAAGTAAAGCTCATCAGTGGGCTTGTCGACAGCATTTGTTTCCTCCATAAGCCATTGGAGGACAAAACAGAAGGACAGTGCATTGTCATGGCCCTCATGATTATGATAATTTAGATAATGAGCCCAAGTTAATCAGTACCAGGAATTATTTCAGGACGTTGTTGTGTAAAATAAGATAAAACGATGTTTAGATTCCAGAAAGCACATACACCCTGATTTGTGGACGTTTTAGAAGAGAAGTGGTAAGAGCTCATCTGACCTCTGAGATCATGTGGAAATCTCCCAGGCTGGGTGAGAGCTGATGGCCTCTCTGCTGTGTCTCCTCCCTCCCCAGGACTGCACCATCTGTATGGAACGCCTCACGGCCCCCTCAGGCTACAAGGGCCCGCAGCCCACAGTAAAACCTGACCTGGTAGGGAAGCTGTCCAGATGCGGCCACATCTACCACATCTACTGCTTGGTCGCCATGTACAACAATGGAAACAAGGTCAGTGCCAGCCTATGGGGCTCCTGCCACCCTTCACAATGGGCTGTGGAGTAGCAAGATGGTGAAGGCCCTATAGGGCCCTTGCTCAAGTGATCTGGGAAGTCTTAGAGACTTCCCAGAGACTTCCCTAGGCAAGAGTGAGGATCTTGGCTGTTCTCAGCAGGATCAGTTCTTTACTAAATTACGGCACTGGTAAGACCCGTCTTCACCTTCCCTTTTGGGCTGTGCTATCTAACTCTCCATCTTCAGTGTCAGATCTAAGAGGGGGGTAGGTTTTTGTCCATGAGGGTTCTGAGGGGAGTGGCCCATTGTCATGGCCTATTGCTAGGTGAAGTGTGTTCCCATCAGTGAGAGAAAAGGAAGTTCTTATCACAGCTCTAGACCCTTGGTGAGTATTCATTCATACCATTGTAAATAGGTTTCCCAATCACCCTTTCTTCTCCAGGGATAGTGATTTTCAGCTACAATTTTCTTTGGACAGTTTCAAAATACCCTTGATTGGCCCTTCAAAGGTACTAAAGACTGTTGCCAAAGTACACCTGGTAATCCCTGCCCGAGAATCCCACTGTTGGAAGAGGGGAAGGCTGTTTTGGATGCTTATTTTGACTATTATCTGACAATGCAATGGTATCTCCTCATTAGAGCTGGTTCTTTGGAGTCTGGAAGGCTCCATAGGTGATGATTCTCTCCTTACAAGGTCTGAGCATTTCCTAAGTCATTGCCTCATGTTCTTTCCTATGCCCGAGATAACTTTTACTCCCCATCTCCATGAGTTTAAATACTACCTCTTTCTTCATGCCAAGCTTAGATTACATGAGAGTCTGAGATATCCCTGATAGCTCCCAACCTCTCACTAAGCAAGAAGTTTGTCTGGGTTTCAGGGTCTGTTCTATACGTCTGTTACTGTGGGAAAGAAGTAGAGGCAAGAGAGGTGGGAGACCTGAACTTGAATCCTGGCTTATTAGCTGAATGACCTTGGGCAAGGTTTTCCAATCTCTTTGAGATTTCATTTTCCATCTGGAAGATGGAGATTAAAACTATACCTACTTTATGGGGTGTTATGCTATTATTATTCAAATTGATATCACCTTTGTATTAAAGGCTGTAATTTTTTCCTTCATCTTCATGTAGCCTATTTGATTGAAGTTCTCAAAGCACTTTCTTGGTGTCCCTGAGAGACATGCTTCTAGTGGTGGGTGGTCGGTCATTGATGGGGAATGCAAATCTGGATCACTTGCTCACTTTCCCAACCCTGGGCTAAAAGGTTTCATTGGGATCTTGCATTTCAAGAGGTTATTTTGGGCTTAAAGGGGTTCCTTAGCACATTTGTTCCCTATTTGATGTCTATATTCAAGAAGAATATGGTAACTGTACTTTTATTTCCGTGGGGCTTTCAAACATGTTTCTCAAGAGTCTATGCTTTATTCTCTTTTGCCCTAATACTTTGAAGCTTGTGTTTTTATTTGATCAAACACATGAGAGAAAAGGGCCCAGGAAGAAGGGAGTGATTCACCCTAGGTCATGAAGCAAGTCAAGGCCAGAGCAGAGAGTGGGAGCCTGGTTTCAGAGAATAGTAACCCTGAATACGAGCTATTGCTTTAAGTGAGTAGACTGGAGAAGTCCCTAAATAGCTCAGCAGAGGATCCCTGTCTTCCTGAGGAGATGGGGATGTCCTGGCAAGCTTTCATTCCCAGCTGCACAGCAGCACATTTTACACACATCGCTCCCAGCCCATGCGCCTTCCTTCTCTTCGCCCCTCCTTTTTGCGAGCCTGGGAATAGGATTTGGTGTCCAGGCCCTCCTCCAGGCAGCACCTCACCAGGCCCTGCAGTGAGACCATACATCCCTGCATCCAGAACTGCCTCTTCCCACTAATGGAGCCACTGAGTTGCAATGCAAAGCTGGGGGTTTAAACAGACCCCACCCCCTGACAAGCAGTAAGTCCTTTAATCTTGCTGTGCCTCGATTTTCCTCTCTATAAAAAGGGACTAATAATTTCTTCCAGGCCAGTGTCAGAAGCTGAGGCCTAAATGAAACAAGAAATGTTAAACTCTCTTTATAGTATGATTTAAAGCACTATAATTACTGGCCTCATTCTCTCTTCTGGGTATTTGTGCAGACCTTACACTCTATCCTTCTAAGCAAATTCATAGCTATTCTTCAAGGACTGTTTTCTTAAAGTTATCCTCACTTACTCCAGCTCTTAGTGGCCAGTTTCTCTTTTCATAGCAGTAGTTTCCAAACCTGTATGAGCATCAGTCTTTCCACAGAAATTGCAAAAATGCTGATAACATTTAGATACACCACATGCTAAAAGCTTCCTATAGATTATCTCATTTAATTCTCTCAACAACCCAATGAGACAGATATTTTTTATCCTTCTCCTATAAGGGAAACTGAGACTCAGAGAAGTTAATTAATTTGTCCAAGGTCACACAGCAGGCAGATGGCAGAGCTAAGAATTACGTCTAGGCAGCCTGATTTTCGCATTCACAGCCTGAACCACTACGCTTTGCAGCTTCCCAGTTCTTTCTCAGTGGACCTGATGTGGGGCCCACGCATCTGTATGATTAACAAGCTGTGTGGGTGATTCTGATGCTCAGGAACTGGGCAGTTGCTGCTCTCCAGGTCTTGCTGTCTGTTCCACCCATTTGGCACTGAGTAGCTGAATAATGACTCCCTGTGTCTGCTCCTGCCCTAGTGAGCTGGTCCCCTCCTCAGGGACAGGGGCTTCTCTTACATATCCCTCAGCGTGGAGCATGGGACCAGTTGTGGAATTTACCTCCTATTACTTTGAAGACAGCAGAAATGGCCTACGTGACTGAGCTGGGGGTGACAAACTGAGATCTATCACTCATTAGGGCACACTTTGTCCTCCTGGCCCTTTATCTCTGGTACCTTTTGGGACTGGGTGGGGAAGTTATTGCCAAAACTGTTTCCCAATCTGGCTCTTCTGGCCTTGGCCCCTCAGGATGGGAGTTTGCAGTGTCCAACCTGCAAGACCATTTATGGGGTGAAGACAGGCACCCAACCTCCGGGGAAGATGGAGTACCACCTCATCCCCCACTCCTTGCCTGGCCACCCAGACTGCAAAACCATCCGGATTATCTACAGCATCCCCCCTGGCATTCAGGTGAGCCTTTCCCTCAGCCCTTGGTTTTTATTGTTCTACATGTTTGTAGGTAAAATGTTACATATGAAGAGTCTCCTTCCCACACTTGTCCTCCATCTACCCAGCCTCGCCCACATCCCCTGAGTTCATCGCCATTGTTCTGACTTTCCTACGTATCCTTCCAGGATTCTTTGTGCACATGCAACAGAGAACTGCATCCACCCCTCCCTTTTTTTTCACAAACAGTGCCATTTAGGCACATTGTTTGGCATCCTGCATTTTTCAGTTAACTATATAGTCTGTAGATCTTTCCACATCCGTATAGAGAGAGCTTCCTCGTTCTTGTGTCTGTGTAATCATCCATTGTATAAATGTACCACTATTTGCATTCAGCAGTCTCCATTTGATGGGCATATGGATTGTTGCCAGTCTTTGGCTACAACAAATAATGCTGGAATGAATAACCTTGTACACATGTGAATATATCTGTAGAATAATTTTCCAGAAGTGGAGTTTCTTTGTCAAACGGTATTTGCACTTGTCATTTGATAGCTATACTTGGCTTTGATTTTGGTGGGCATTACTTTCCTCTTTTGATTCTTTGAAAGACAGTCCTGAAGAACAAATTTGAACACTATTCCTGCCAGTAAATCCAAATGTGGCACCTTCCTTTACACAATGAAGCTTTTTCTGAGTGTTCTGGGGCATTGACTGTATGCATTTCTTTAGCAAATATTAATTCCTCTTTTCCTCCCCCTAGTTTTCTTCCTCCATTTTGTCTTTTATTTAACAAACATGTGAGTGTGGACTATGGTCCAGACATGTTCTAGACATTGGAGAAGCAATGAGCAAAGTAGATGAAATCCTTGCTCCTTGAATCCCCTATTCTAATGGGGCCAGGAAGGCCATAAAGGAAACAAATGAATAAACAAGGTACTTCCAGATAGCGATCATCGATGTGGAGGAAATAAAACAGGAAGTTGTGATAGCCTGCAGAAGAAGTGAATAAATCGTGGTTCTTCCTGGAGGGGCTTACCAGCCAGTCAGGGGAAGATAAATGTACATCACTAACAAAACCTCTGAGATGCAATGTAGACAAAGTGAGAACACAGGCCTTCAAAGTCCGATGAACTGGGTTCTACTTCCCGGCTGAGTCTTTATTAGCTGGTGCCTTTAGCCCAGGGGTTCCCAACCCTCAGGCCACAGAAGAGGCTGCATAGCAGGAGGTGAGTGGTGGGTGAGCCAGTAATACCACATGTGCTCTGCCTTCTCCAGATAAGCGGCAGCCTTAGATTCTCATAGGAGCACAAACTCTGTTGTGAACTGTGCATGTGAGGGATCTAGGTTGCTCACTCCTTATGAGAATCTAATGCCTGATGATCTGTCACTGTCTCCCATCACCCCCAGATGGGACCACCTAGTTGCAGGGAAACAAGTTCAGGGCTCTCACTGATTCTTCATTATGGTGAGTTGTATAATTACTTTATTATATATTACAATGTAATAACAATAGAAAGAAAGTGCGCAATAAATGCAATGCTCTTACATCATCCCAAAACCATCCCCCACCACCCCGGTCCATGGAAAGGTTGTCTTCCACAAAACCAGTCCCTGGTGCCAAAATGGTTGGGGACCGCTGTTTTAGACAACAGGCTCTTGACCTTTTGGAGCCTGATTTCTTCACCTGCACAGCCAGGAGCCCAACTGGCAGAGGTTTGGTGAGAATGGGAGATAACGTTTGTCTATGCGTATTGAAGGATGAGCATAGTGCCAAGATGCTCCACACCTGCTTGTCAACATTATTTTAGGTCCTCCTTGTCATGGTAAAGAGGAGGGCTTATGTCTCTCTGTCTGGGAGGGTCAGAGGAGACTTTCTAGTGCAGGGAATTCTCTAGTTGAGTCTAGAAAGACATGAAGAAATGGAGGAGAATGTTTTTAGTGGGAGGAGGTAAGAGGGTTGTAGAGTAAAAATGTGAGTATCAAAGGACAAGAGGGAAGGGTTTAATTTGGGGCTCAAGACTTGCAAGGAAGTACAGGGAGGAAGCATGAAGGAGGTGCAGGGAAAAGACTAGGCCATGAGCGAGGTTGCATCCAGATCATAGAAGGCGTTGAATACCAGGGCGGGGGTCATGGATTTTACTCAACAGCTCTTGGGTGTGCAGTTAGGAGTATGGACCACTGTGTGATTGCAATTATGCTCTAGGAAGGCTAGTCAGGCAAAAGAGTCGGGGATGGCCAGAGGGAAAAAGGCCAATTAAAAGACCACTGCCACAGTCCAGGCCCTAGGAATGGGGCTCGAAGAAGGGAAGGCCAGGATAAGGAAGAGAGAGATATGGTTGGATATGGGGTCAGGTGAGACTTCTCGAGTGTCTCAGAGGCAGTGAGTCAAGGTGATACAGACACGAATGAAAAAAACAGGACTTGGGAGAAACAGCCAATGATCTGGTGAGCAGTAGAACAGACTGAAGCTTGCAAAGACAAACGTGGGGCTACCATTTCCTCCAGGATTAAAGAGCAGAGAACCCACACTAGGGGATAGAGGTGGCGCATGCTGCCTTGATGGGTGCCGTGGTGGTTCCTCCTGAAAAACCCAAGCTCGTATCAAGAGAAATGCAGCTCTCCACTGTTAGGATCTACATTCATCCCTCAGTGTAAGTAGCAGGACACTCAGTGCCATGTCACTCAAGTTTCCAGGCACCACACAGGCATGCGCCTCTGTGAGGAGTGGAGACCTTCAAGCTCTGCATTCACTGCAGAGAACCATTCCCTTGGGGAGAAACTCTGGGTTGGGCTGAGGCAGAGTCGTGACTGCTCCACTTAGCAACGAGCTGGGAGGGCACAGCCGTGTTGGGTCAGTGCCAGGCAGGCATCTGAGTTGGCCACACAAGCAACAGTCCCAGGCAGATCAGGAGCAGTCAGAGCTGTGGTTAGAATTGGCCTTTCAGTCAGGCAACTTGATTTAGAAACAGCCGGGGCCATGGGAAGGTTGTAAATTTGTAGTGATTTCCTATGAATGTAAAATTCATAAATGCTGCATTCTGCATCTCCAAGAAGGCGTTGTTGCTTCTTTCAGCTCACGGTGACCTCTCCCTTCTCTGAGACCCCATTGCATTTACTGCATCAAACCATAGGTGATCTTGAATCAGGTTAACTATTTAAGAAAATGGAAAACCACAGAATTTCTTATCATTTTGGAACCATGGTCCATAATAAGAGAGAAAGAAAAATCTGGGGTTTTTTCTTCCGTTTTTTCATTCATTTGTTCTTCCACACTCATTCATTTATTCAGACAGGATATATTTGCTGATCATGTACATGACAGCATGGAAGTATCAGTTTTATACTGGTTGAATCTAGAAGGGATTTTTAAAGAGGATTCCATCCCTGAGGGGGTCAAGGATGCTCAGAAATCATAGACAAACTTTTGTATGGGGAGGGAGAGATTTGGTCATTGTTACCGGGAGAAAATTTGCCGCTTTTCATGAGCTTCTCAAGGGGGCCTGTGGACCCATTCTGGGCACTGATTAGGAAACCTGTTCTCACTCAATTGTTCTTCAGTTTTTTTTCTCACTCAGTGGCCTGAGACTGCCTACTTAATAGGGTATTGGGTGGCAATAGCTGAAATGCTGTTAGAAGATTTTTAGTCCTGACTATCCCAATTCCTATTGTTAAAGAACAAAACAAACAAAAACCCATAAGGACAAAGGAGAAAATCCACAAGAATCATTCAGAAAATTCTTTTGGCATGCCTTGTAGCTTGGAGGCACTTTCTTTATTCTGAGTAGTTAAAAATCCAAAGTGTGCCTCAGGAAATCTGGGCTTCAGTTTTAGCAAAGCTGCTAATGTTACAGAAGCCACTTATTTTCTCTGCACTGCAGATTTCTTCTTTTGTAAGACAATAGATGATGAAGATGATGGACAATGATGTTAAACATTTACTGAGCTCTTACTACTCATCAGGCACCGCTCACTTAACATTTATAACAGCCCCATAAGGGAAGGACTCTGCATCATTCCTGTTAGAGAGATGGGGAACAAAAGCCCCTAAGGGAGGATTCCAGCTAACACAGTGGGAGGTAGCAGCTCTGCATCCAAACCCAGGTCTAAGGACACAGAAACATGTGTTAAATGACCACTCACAGTGCTTTCCGGGTCTGTTCTCTTTTGAGGCGCTGTGGGAATTATTATTATCATTATTATTGAAATTAGTCACAGCCTAACCCGCCTCTTATCAGAAATATTTTGAAAAATGCCATTTGCTTGCTTGCTTTCTGCTTTCAGGGACCAGAACACCCGAATCCTGGGAAGAGTTTCAGCGCCCGAGGCTTCCCACGACATTGTTACCTTCCGGACAGCGAGAAAGGGAGAAAAGTAAGACCGGAGGTTTCCACACAGAACTAGGTTTTAGAATAGATCAGGCAGTTTACTCCTATATCAAGGCCTAAAGTTTTACTTCTTACAATGCACAGACCAAAGAGAACTGTGTCTCTTTTAACTCTAGATGCACACAGTAGCAAGGTCAAGTTTGAGTCAACCGTAGGTGGGGTGGCTACGATTCGAATTTTTTTTCTTTTTTGCAGGTGGGTGGGAGTGGGACATTTAGTTTGTGTTATTAGCCTGTTCTCACGCTGCTAATAAAGACATAAATGAAACTGGGTAATTTATGAAGGAAAGAGGAAAGAGGTTTAATTGACTCAAAGTTCCACGTGGCAGGGAAGTCCTCACAATTGTGGCAGAAGATGAAAGGCAACTCTTACATGGTGGCAGTCAAGAGAGAATGAGGGCCAAGTGAAAGGGGAAACCCCTTATGAAACCATCAGATCTTGTGACACTTACTCACTACCACGAGAGCAGTATGGCGGAAACCGCCCCCATGATTCAGTTATCTCTCACTGAGTCCCTCCCACAGCGTGTGGGAATTATGGGAGCTACAATTCAAGATGAGGTTTGGGTGGGGTCACAGTCAGACCGTATCAGTTTGTTTCCTCTCTAGGGTATTACTGGCAATAATTTATCTATTTTAAGATCCTGTGTCGAGAGTCCTGCTGCTTAAAAGCTGGTCCTGGAACCAGCACCAGTGGCACCACAGGAGCTTGATAGAAATGCAGAACCAGAAGCCACTTCATCTTAACGAGATGCGTAGCTGATCTGACAACACCTTGAAGCTTGAGAAACACTGGTCTGGGATAGGGATCTTAACATGTAGATTATTTTCTTTTTATGTACTTTCATATCATTTGAATTTTTCCCAAAAGGGCAGAGAAAACAATCATTGGATTTCTGGATTCCTAGTGATTCATGATTAGGCGTCAGTGGTTCTATGAACTCTAAAATTCAAATAAAAAAATGTATGTTTGTATTTCTATGGATGAGGCCAGAAAATCGTTGGATTTTCAAAATCTTTCCTGATTTCAAAAGGAGTAGGAACCATTGATCTACAGGGAGTACTGGGGGGAATATTGGACAAGATGTATTTTAGTGAGCTTTCTCTCCAAATTTCCGCAGCTTGCTTCAACAAGTGTTTATTTGTCATGCACTTTGCATGTCAGCAGCTATGGCTATGTTGTTGCTGTGGGTCAGTGTCTTAGTCTGTTCTGGCTGCTGTAACATAGTGCCATACACGGGGTGGCTTATAAACAATAGACACTTATGTCTCACAATTCTGGAGCCTGAGAAGTCCAAGATCTAGGCGCTGGTGGATTTAGTGTCTGGCTAGGACTTCTTCATATGAACCCATCCTGGTTCGTAAATGGTGCCTTCTCACTGTGTCCCCACATGGTAGAAGGGGGCAAGGGGTTTCTCTGGGGCTTCTTTTATAAGGGCACTAATGTCATCCATTTAGGGTTCTGCTGTCATTACCTAATCACCTCTCCAAGGACCCACCTTCTAATACTGTCACCTTGAGGGTGAGGATTTCGACATGGCAATTTGGTGAGGACACATATTCAGACCATAGCAGCAGCTTCAGTCGGCTCCATGTATCTTCCTGTTCTGGAGCCCAGGTGGAAGGAGCAGCCCTTCTGTGGCCCATGCCCTTCCCATGGAGGGGACAGAGGACAGAGAACCCAAGTGGAAGTGTGTAATCCCATTTAGAGCTCCTGGATGCTTGTTACTTCCACTCACCCTTCACAGGCCCCAACAAGTCCTGGGCAAGCCAGATAAGGGGTGGGACGGTGACCTTTCTACAGGGAGGCCCTTTGGGTTTCCTGTCAAAGGGTATGGATATGGTCTTCCCCTACAGGTGGGAAGCAGGTATTTTGGAAGAAATAGAAAATCAACCACACAGAGAAGACGTGCGAGTGCAGTGTCCCCAGATTAGGGGTGAGGACCATCCCTGATACTGTTTACCTTGAAGAGCCAGATTTCTGTGCTTGAGCGCTGGAGCTACATCCCAACTCTTGGCGAAATGTCTCTACTCTAAAGTCCTGCAGTTAAAACTAGAATCCTGATGCCAAGAGCTGCTTTTCTTCCAGGCCTCCCTCTTTATGTTAATGACATACTCAGAGTTCCTGGTACCCAGATGGGCACATGAACCTGTTCTTATCCACCTGTTCTTATCCACCGCATCCATTTAGCTCATTCCTCCCTGCACTCACTGCCTTCCAAACCACTAGACTCCTCTTCTAACCCTGCCACTGCCAACATAGATAAGACTTCTTCATCTTTTACCTGCTGCCAGGTTAGTTATCTCACACGGTTTCTAGAATCAAGCTTTTTGTGTGTAAAAGAAATAAAACAAAGAAACAACAAAGTGCAGTCTTCTCAGCTTGACATATAAGACCTACTACAGTGTGAGTTAAACCTTCTCCTCACACCAATTTCTCATCCTTATTCTTCACATCTGCTGTTCCAGGAACCTAACATTGGACTTCATTGTAGATTGAGGTATAATTAGAGGATGGGCTTTGGAGCCAGACCAGCCTGGGTTCAAGTCCCATTTCGGCCATTTACTAGCTGTGGGAACTGGTTGGCTTCATGTCCTGAAGTCTCAGTTTCCTAATCTGTAAAACAGTGGTGATAATTTCCATCTATATGGACAGGATGTTGGAAAAATTAAATGAAAATATCATTTGTAAAATGCACAGCACAGTGACAGCAATTGTAATTTATCCATGCCTTAGGTTTATATTTGTTTACTAGGTCTGCACATCCTTCTCTATTAATATACCCCAAATCCTTCCCTTCCTTTACTACTCAGCTCAGAAGCAACCTCCTCCATGAATTCTAGACTGATTCCCATCTGAGAGTCAACAGAGTGGTGATTCAGACCATGGGCTATGGAGTCAGGCAGTCCTGAAATCAATCCCTTAACCACTGCCCCCAGCCACTTACTAGCTATAAGACCAAGGCAAGTCTTTTACCTTTTGAGTCTCTGTTTCCTTGAGAGGGATAATGAGAGTCCAGTTTTCTGTCATTTAATGGCGTGGATATCATTATTATTAGACAGCTTCATCATCATACAAACATCATAGCGTGTACTCACACAAAACTAGATGGAATAGCCTATTACACAGCTAGGCAATATGGTATAGCCTATTGCTCCTAGGCTACAGACCTGTACACCATGTTATTTTATTGAATACTATAGGTAGTTGTATAATGGTAAGTATTTGTGAATCTAAACATTGAAGACTTATAGTAAAAATACAGTATAAAAGATAAAAGTGCTATATCTGTATAGGGCACTTACCATGAATGGGACTTGCAGGACTGGAAGTAGTTTTGGCTGAATCCGTGAGTGAATATGAAGACCTAGGACATTGCTGTACACTACTAAAGACTTTATAAACACTGTACACTTAAATGACACTAAATTTATATACAACTACTTTTCTTTCTTCAATAATAAACTAACTTTAGCTTATTGTGACTTCTCCATTTAAAAACCTTTTACTTTTTTTAACTTTTGACTTGTTTGTAACCACACAGCTTAACAAACACGTTGTACAGCTGTAGAAAAATATTTAATCCTTATTCTATAAGCTTTTTTATTTTTGAAACTTTTTTTTTTTTTACTTTTGAAACTTTTTGTTTAAAATGAACACATGAACATAAGCATTAGCCTTGAGCTACTCAGGGCAGAATCAGCAGCATCACTGTCTTCCACCTCCATATCTTATCCTGCTGGAAGGCCTTGGGGACGGTAACAGGAATGGAACTGTCATCTCTTATGACAACAATGCCTTCTTCTGGAATACCTCCTGAAGAAACTGCCTGAGCCGTTTTACAGTTAGCTTTTCTTTTTGTAAATAAGTAGGAGTGCACTCTACAATAATGATTAAAAGTACAGTATAGTAAGTACTAGGGCAGTAGGAATTCCTCAGCTCTATTGTAATCTTGTGAGATCACCATTGCATATGAGTTCAGTCATTGACCAAAATGTCACTATGTGTGGCACATGGCCATACCTATATCATCTGATTATATGTAACAATTACATGTCCCAATGTCCAGCACTTAGAAAGTAAACACTCAGGAAATAGCAGCTCATATTTCTAATGTCTGCTTTTATTACTAATACTATTATGGTTTCCTCTCCTCCAGCCCATACCATGTTTACAGTAGTTCAGTTTTGAACCCAAGACATTTTCACTGGATGCTTTTCCTTCATGCTGGACACTACTCTGACGAAGGCCTGGAACAGGGCATTAGGCATTGGTCTTGCTCAACAAACATTTTTTAAATTTAACTGATTTAGAACATTCTGCAAGCCCCAAAACTTTCTTTGAGCCTCAGTTTTCTCACCTTGAGGAAGTCAAAGTGCTCCAAGATGTCACTAGAGAAATATCACACAACTTCAGCTTTGGGTAAATTAATACTACATTGAGGTAGTGGTGGTGGTAATGAAGGGCAGAGCTTCAGAAGTTCTCAGATCATAAGCGCCTTCAACTCCTAGATCCTATCTTTCAAAATGCAGCTGTTATGTTGGCAGATAAGATTTATCAATTAGCGCGCTGTAGGCACTGGTGCGAAAATACTTTTCATGTAGTGTCCAGTAAGATGTTCACAACATTTAGAGGCAGATTGTACCATTGCCATTTCATAAATAAGAAAATTAATGTTCAAAGAGGTGCTATAACTTCTCCAAGGTCACACAGTTATTCAGTGACAGAGCCGGGACTCAGCCTGTAGCTCCCAAACTCCAAGTCCAAATCTCTTTCTTTCCCCTGGGCGCTTAGGGTATCATGATGCAGGAAGGGATGAGGCCCTTGGGAAGATTCTCTACCATCCAAGGGATAGTCTTTGACTGCCAATTAATGTCTGCTTTTCATAACCCACTTTTGTCCCTCTAGGTTCTGAAGCTGCTGCTCGTGGCCTGGGATCGCCGCCTCATTTTTGCCATTGGCACCTCCAGCACCACGGGGGAGTCAGATACTGTCATCTGGAATGAGGTCCACCACAAGACAGAGTTTGGCTCTAATCTCACTGGCCATGGCTACCCAGATGCCAATTACCTGGATAATGTGCTGGCTGAACTGGCTGCCCAGGGCATCTCTGAGGACAGCACTGCCCAGGAGAAGGACTGAGGCCAGAAAAGCTTTGAGGTGGGAGGGGCCGTGGGGACTGCAGGACAGGAAGTGAGGAGAGTGAGTCAATGTAGAAGAAGTTGGTGTCCTGCCCTCCCAACTTTCTATCCTCCCCTCCTGCCCTGTGTCCACCCCTCATCTCTCCCAACCACAGCGGGAGCCAGACTGAATATAGCGACATCATTCATAAACCTTATCCAACACAAAGGGAGAGGGGATGAGGGCCACCCTGGGTCTGTTCCCATGGAGTTTTTGGTGCTGGGTAGTCAAGAATCCCCTCCCTACCCCACCTCCCAAGTAGGGGCATGGTCAACACACCTGGGGTATGGGCAGTGCCTGGGCACTCCATACCCTGGCTTTGGGAAGCCGGGGTTTCTGGCCTCAGCCGGCTTCTTGCTACTTCCACTCTGCTTTGAGAGTGGAATTTCTGCTATTCTCCCTCTGCTGCAGCCAGGGAGCTCTCACTGTGCAAGGTTGGGGGGGCAAAGGGGTGAACCACTAAACTGCTGTGACATCAGAAACGGATGCCTTGGTGTAGAGCGAGGAAGCACTCCTTCCCAAGAGGGTCAGAGAAGGAAAAGCCTCTGGGAGCACATTCCGCTCTCATCACAGTCCTTGGCTTCTCTGGGCCCTCCTCTCCTCCTCACAGCTCTGACCTGTCCAAAGAGGCATCTGGTTCTCTCATGCGGATGGATGGACTCTGGGGTTCCTCTTTGGGGTGGCATCCCATGATGCTGTTTCTAGCCCCTCTCTGATCAAACCAGAGCCTGCATCCCACTGAGCATCTGAACTGTCCTCAGGGAGAGGAGCCCACAGCCTTCTTCCCAACTCATTCTAGACCAGCTCAAAGATTCCATGAGTTTCATCAAGTCACTGTGAGTGGAGCCCATTCTGGGCTCTGTGCCCTCTGTGTCTGTGCATGCGTGTGTGTGGGGGGTGGGGGAGGGGGCGTGTGTGCATCGCTGGGCCAGCTTGATGGGAAGGCCCGTCATGTCCCTGCACTCTGTTTTGCAAGATGCCAAACCCCAGTTCTGATGGGGCTCCAACAGCCAGGCTGTGGTCCTTTGATGTTCCTCACCTGTTGCCAACCTATCCCACAGAGAACTGAAACCCCAATGGAGACAGAACTGTGCCTGGGGAGATGCAATGAGGTGAGGGTTGGACTCATCCTTTTATATCTCTTTTTGAGATTGGAGCAGAGCTCATCTCCATCCAGTCTTGTTTCTATGAAGGCTTCAATCTGTTTCCATGCAAATTTGCTCATCAGAGCCCAGAGCTGCTGGGTCCCTCATCTCCTTCATCTATTATAGATTGACTTAGAGCAGGGAGAGAACCTCTTTAGCTCATTCCTAATGGGGTTGGGACCACGGTATGGTCTGGTCCAATCTGCATCTTGGTTGTGTCCCAAGACCCTGTCTCCTCCCCAACATTCTTATTGCCTTTGGCTCCCAGTAAGGAATGAATTGGGGGCCAGGGAGGAGAAAAGGGGGAATCAAGAAGGGAAATCGAATTCCCCCTTTGAAAGTGGGTTCTTTGAACTATGTGTTTGGGGGAAGTTCCTCTGGATACTAATTTGTATTTATATACCTCATGTTTTGGGGGTTTGACGTATATATATATGCATATATATTTCATAATATTTGGAAGGTTTTTGATGCTAGAAAAATGGAAACAAGAAAACCTTCAAAAATGGTACTTCGATGGGAACCGGAGGCCAGGCTTTCATAAAAGCCAGCCCCATAGCTGCTTGCTGTTAGGCCTCCAGCCATTTTGACGTGGGTGTGGATAGTCGATTCACTTGCCTGTCACCCAGTTCTGTGGATGTGCTGGTGCTGAGACTTTGCTCTGTTTCCAAATGGCTACAAGGGATGTTGATCAGCTCCACCAGAGGGAGCTCTGATGGGAGGAGTTGTTCTGCCATCCTTGTCCCCGTGTCTCCTGTCAGCAGGCAGCCATTATATCTCACCAGCAGACCAGGAGACTGGTCCTGAGCTTACTGCACCACAGGGCAATTTCCTGCCAGAGTCAGGAAGGAAACCCCTGAACTAAATGGAAGAGACATCCCTGCGGTGTTTAATGTCACACCCATGCCCTTTGTCGAGTTACCATGTGCCAGAGATTACTTGGAGACCCTCATGCCGTCTCTGCCTTCAGCACACTGGTCAAGTATCTGCTGAGCTTCTTGGCTGCAAGGGTGCAGAAATAGGCTGAGGGTTCTTGGGAAGGAAAACACGATGAGGCAGTAGGAGGTGGGGAAGAAAAGAAGACAGACTTTCACAATGGAATTAGGCAGTGGGGAGAGATCAGTTTCCCCACGTCAGGGAGAAGAAGGTATAGGTGGGGAAGGGGTGGCCAGGAGGAGAAGGAAGAGGACTCAAGATGGAAAGGGAGCCGCTGTGCATGTGGCAATACCACTTGGAGAGGTCGTCTTCACACCTTCAAGCCTTTTCCCCTGGGCTTTTGATTATGTCTGTGCCCAATTTCTTGTCCTCTCTGCAGATGCCCAGTAGGGGCTACCTCATTCTCGTGCTGTTCTTGTGTGGCTTTCTGGGCAGTAGGGATCTTGAATTTCCTTTCTAACACTGTGCCAGGCAAGGCAGGGAGCATTCCTCTGCCCTTTCTCTTGTGCCAACCTGGTAAGGTGCAGTCTAGATTTCAGCGAGAACCCTGCCAGCCCAGCCCTGTGCATCCACTACCTTGACACAGGGTGTTTTCCCACCAGAAGCCCTGCTGTGCTCTCCTGGCCCAAGTAGGGGATTCCATGCCTTCCCTTTCATGCTCTTAGTGCCAGCAGCCTAGTTTCTCCCTTCCAGAGTCTCCTGGGATGACAAATTGGATTGGAGACAAATCTCATCGGATGCTCATCCCCTAAAAGGTTAAGTGTGTATTTGTGGCTGCGTGTGCCTTTGTGTTTTCATTCTCTTTCCATTTTTGTAAAATTGGGTCGTCTCTGTGGTTTTATACTTGGTCAAAAGTACTCATCTTGGTATTGCACTGTTGTATGCATGAGAAAACTGGGGGAAGGCTCATGTGGTACAAGAAAGGACGCCTGACCCATTTCCTTCTCTGTGGTCCCCGGCATTAGATTGGGGGTTCTGGGAGAGGCAGGTGAATGTCCTAAGTGAATTGTTCTGTTTGTAACTGGAGTGTTTTTGAAGTCTTTGGTGTTGCTCTGTGAGAGGGCATCGCCACCTGGTGCTCATGAGGTGTCTGTGCAGAACAATAAATGGCAAATGAACAACCACAAAATTGTTGCTGTTGTTGGCCTTCTGCTTTTTGTAGATTAGTGCACCTATCTGTGAGGGATTTGGGTTACCTCCCTGAGTCTGTAAGCAACCACAAGCCCTTCCACTGGATGGGGGAAGCCCCTCCCCCACCACTTAAAAACAGATTTTCCACATGTTACCCGCCACACATTTGACCTGGCTAGACTCCGTGAGACTAAAGGAACAGATCACACGGCCGGGAAAATGAGTAAGTGAACGTGTGGGAGAAAAAAACACTTTTGAAATCACGAATATTCACTTTTAAAGGTCCCTTTGCCTGACTACAATATAGTATGTGTTTAAATGGTTTACAGGCTGCTGTTTCTCAAATAAATGTTTGATATTAATCATCCCCAAACTGACAAGAACACAAAAATAAAATGCAAATGCAGAGCCACCTTTGTCACCCAAATCTGTGTCTATTTCTGATAGTCCATGGGATGAGGTTTTCTTGGAAGCCAGGGTTGGTCTCCCCACAGACCCCAGCCTAAGACCACCAGTTAGGAACCCAGGACTTGGAAGGCAGAGCCTGTGAGCTCTTCCATCTGGGATCTGACTCTGCAAAATGATTTGATGAATGCAACCGGCAGACTCCCATGTTCTAACTTCACATGCATGAGCTGTTGGACAGAGGGTTCCTTAGTACATATTTTAATGTATATTTATGTGCAATCTTGTTGGTAGGAATATAGGTTTGTAAGGAACTTTTCATTTCAATACACGGTTAGTGCATTAAAAGCCTGGGAATTTGGGGCTGTATTTTTCCTTTCTGACTCAATAATCTTCAAAGAATTCATAGGAAAGTCAGTATTTGCAGACAAGTGGTTAACTTGGCTAAAACGTACAAAACACCCAGAACCCACAAAACACTCAGAGGTTTAGGAGAATGTTTTAATGCTTAAGAGGCAGGATTAAGTGAAGACATTAAAGAAATCAGTGTCCCTGGCTGGGCAGTCAAGAGAGCAGGGCTCAAATTCTGTGACTCACTTCTCTGTGTCTCAGTTGGAAATGAATGGGGATCCTGGTTCCCACCTTCCCACACGCTGTGATGCTTCAGACTCGTTGGTGAAGGGCCTCTTCTCAGCCCAAGATTTTGATTGTGAACATTAACAAAGAGAACAGTCATCCTCCACAGAAGATAACTCACTAATGACATTTGATTCAGTGAATAAATGTATTATTTTAAAAAATATTGTAGGGGATCATGAAAGTAGTGGAGGTAATTGCAATCAGGAGAGATTGGTATTAAAATTGAGCAAAGTCCCAACTATTGCCAGATGACAATTATGCATCCTGCTAGATGTCCCAGGGCTCTCGGCCTGGAACTGAAATAAATGGGTTACAAGTGGTGCTGGATGACTTTTTCAGTTCATTTGAAAACATGGATTTGATCATGTCAGCTCCCTTTCTGCTGGAAAAAAAGTAGCTTGCATAATTGGTGTTAACTACTCTGTTTTGATTCTACAGAGTAATACTTAAATGTGGTCTTACTTTAATTTCTTGCCTGTTTTACCCCCAGAACAATGCAGACTTACTGAAATGTGGAGTGTGTGTGTGTGTGTGTGTGTGTGTGTGTTCATATAACAGGAGGACAGGAATAGTAAGGACCCGGAACAATGCAGACTTATTGAAATGTGGGGTGTTTGTGTGTGTGTGTGTGTGTGCGTGTGTGTTCATATAATGGACAAGAAAGGTAAGGACCTAGAACAATGCAGAATTACTGAAATGTGGGGTGCATGTGTGTGTGTATGTGTGTGTGTGTTCATGTGTGTGTATGTGTGTGTGTGTTCATGTAACAGGAGGACAGGAAAGGTCATGACCATCCGTGGAAGATGAAAGCGGTAGTACTCAGCACCGGAATTTTTTCAGTTTTTACCCATCTTTCATTACTCCTTGTCTCCAAATCATCCCTTCCTCTTTGACCCACTAATAGTTTACAAGTTAAAATATTTTCTGAGGACTTGATGACACCAGTCAGAAGTCCAAGAGTGGTCTGGTGTAAGGGAGTGTTCATCAAGGGGCAGCTGGAAAAAGTGGAATCGGCACAGGCAACATCTTTCTTTTCAGATGTTTGAGGTGGCTCTGAGTAGATAACAGTCTGTCAACATAGAGCCCTCACAGTTAAAAAGCAGTAACCAAGCAAGACTTGTGTCTTTTCGGGACTCTTCTGGGCTCTAAGAGTGTGAAATTCAGACAGCTTTTAAAAAATCAAAATAAAGGGAGGGTAGTTGTTACAGGCAGAAACTCTTAGAGCTCACAAATTGGAAACAACTGCAAACTTCAGAGTAAATTCATGGCTTCCAAATCCAAATGTTAGCATTCTCCCTCCTCTATTTTTACACAAATGCATTCAGGTGAAGACAGCAACACACACTGGGAAAGGGCATCTGTTTCCTATTTTAGTCCCAGAATGGCTTTTGCTTCTACTCCCAACTGTTCCCTCTCCCCAATCTCACCCTTATCCATGTAACAGTGTGAATTTTCTGGCCCAGAGACTTAAACAAGAAGTCACAAATATACCTACTTTTGGTTGCACATGCCATTTCAATGTTTAGGAAAACAGAGTGGTCAGCAGTGACCACACTGGAGATGAGAGAAACCATTTTCGGGGAGAGATTTAAGCTGGACTCTGCCCCTGCTCTTCGTGAGGTGTGTCTCCAGTTGCTGCAGTGCCTGGAACCAAACTCTGCCTTTCCCCAATTTCCTGATATGCTTTCTTCTTGAACTTCCGGGTGCCGTAGATGGCCAGGGTGATAGCAAGAGCCAGAATGGTGGTGACCCCCACTGTGACCCCAGCTGCAGCCCCTCCTGACAGACCACCACCATCCCCATGGATGACATTCATGGCCCTCCGCAGCTCTACCGGCTCTCCCAGCCTCCACTGGTGGGTCTGGGAGTCTTTAATCCAGGATCTCGCATTCTCAGAATTGGTCACTATGACAGTATTGGTGGCAGCCTGACTCATGAGGGGTGGCCGGGTGAAAGGTGGGAGCCTGGCAGGGGGCAGGGACCCTCCTGTAAAAAGCCCGGATTTGACGCAGTAGGACACTTGGCATCCGTCGCTGATGAGGGCTAGGTGCTGGCTGAAGCCCCCAGGGCACTTTTTCAGGGAAGGTGCCTCTAAATCTCTGGATATAGCAGGATCTACCAGGGGGTTCCCAACTGCGCAGCTAAAGAACCCACCAAAGGGGACCGCAAACCTGCTTCCCAACTCATAGTCCTGAGAAACACATACCTTGAGGTTTTCAAAGAGTCTCAGGGGAAAGTAGCCAGCTGGGCATGACTGCGCATTTGTCATGGGGTTTATGCTCTTGCTGCTGAAGAGGCCTCCGAAAAGCAGTCCTGAGTTCTCAGGTACTTGGCTACCGGCCACACACCAAAAAGCTCTGAATTCAGCCTTTGCCACCTGGAACACATCTTCACACACGGTCTTGCAGAAAACAAGGAGAGTGCACTTTCGATGACACTCCAGGTGGTTGTAACCCTCCTCGTGGATCTGGGATAGCAAGTGCACCGGGGAGTAGCCAGAGGGGCAAGAGAAATCACCAGTGAGTGGATTCTTCTGCTCCAACTTTTGGCAGAGGAGGACATCCCTACTCCCTGAGAGCTGAGTGCATTCCTGATAAACCCCACCCAGAGAGAAGTTGGTCATTTTCCCCTCGCAGGAGCCATCATCTGTGTTGGCCTGAAAATTGAAGTTGGGAGAATTGAGATCGGTGCAGCCAGGGTAGGTGTTGAATGTGTAATAGCGCTTCACAGCAGTTTCCACCGTCTTTGACACCTTCCTCACCAGGGGGCCTGGCAAGTCAGGCAGCATGTTGGGGTTGACGAAGAAATGCAGTGGCAGGCCAGAGCGGTCGATGGCCACCAGGTGGTTGGTGATACCCTGCTGCCAGACCTGGAGGGTGATGCCTGGGTAAAAAGGAACCCCTCCGATGCTCTGCACCCTGGAGTTGGTTCGGTTTGAGAGGTAGCTCTTGGTGAGGACATTCTGCAACGTATAGTTTTCCTCAAATTTGAAGTTCACGGTGTTTTGGAAGGCAAGTCCAGCAGAGGCAGTCACGGCACTACGACTGCTCTGGCTGTCTTGGAGAAAGGAGGTCTTGATGTGGTCCTCCTGAATAAGAGCAGCCCCAGCATCCACACTGGTGATGACATGGGTGCCATAGTTGAGGACCAGGAGTTCTGCCAGGTAGGTGGCCATCCTCGTCTGGTTGTTTTCTAGACGGTCAGAGATGTCAAGGAGCTCCTTCCTGAAACCTGAGCTTAGTGCTACAGTTGGGTTGATTTTGACTGTGTAGACGAGGTTTCTTACCTGAACTCGGGTAGTTATAGCTTGGTCCTTCACTTGGAGGGTTTTCATCCTCTGGAACTCAGTGGAAAACTTGCCATTGACTTTGGAAAAAAGAGAGAGATCTGTGTTGATGGAGTAGGAGGTGCTGCTCTGGTAATTCGCCCAAGATTCCAGGATTTCTGAGTTCATCTCCAGGTTGCTCTGTTTCTGGGGAATGGTGAAGATTTCATCAGGGGTGATATACTGTCCATCCTCAGTTGTCCTGCAGTTGGTGTAAGTCAATTCCATAACCCGTCCCATGTCCACATTACGCAGATTGTCCCAGCCCCCTCCAGGTAGGACTTCCAGGACAGGCAGTTTCAAGGCATTTTTGCATTTTTGAACTCCAGCTTCATCTGTCTGTCCCAAAGGCTTGCCTGATGTAGCCCATGCTGCCACTGCCCAGAAGAGGATGGTGGCCCTGAAGCTGTTCATGGCTCAGACAGCCCCGGCCACTCGCCAGCCCTACACAGCGGCCAGCAAGCTTTGGGCAACCTAAAATGGAGAAAACAAAAGCAGATGATGAAGCAGAAAACTCATCAGTTCTCTAAAAGCTACCAGCTCCTCTTTAAGTTAATTTCTTACAAAATGGGGAAACGAGAGTTGGTTGAAATACTAAAGACCGTCAGTTCCTTGAAGAATTTATGCCATACTGAACATGCAAACACAGCGGTACATGCCTAACAGTTAACTATCCTAATTTTCCCCCAGCCCTCACTGGTTACTCTGCTGCAGGGGCGTGCACTTACAAAAAAAATCTTGACCCCACACCCTACTGCTTCCTCCACCAGAAAGTTTGGCTTTGCTTTTTGCTCACTCTCTTAGACTTGAGGTTTCATATTTTTCCTGACTGCTGTGTCTTGGAACTCCAATACCAGTTTCCTTTTACTGTATATGCAGAGGCAAATGACCACACCACCCTGAGTGAAACACCCTGGCTCCACCATACCTGTGCAAGCTGTTAGTCAAGGCCAACCCTGGGGTTCCTCTTTGCCTGAGGGTGGAGGCTGTTTCCACAAAAGAAATGAGTGAAACTCTTGGACACTTGTCCTGTGGGTTTCACTGTTATGAACCATAACAGTTCTGTCTTAGGGGATGGCATTGTCTGGAGCAGAGCTGACGGGGCCTGAAGAGGATTCGGTTACAATATGCTGAGAAACCCCAATTTGCATTGTCCTAAGTATTCAGAATGAGGGCAAGGAACCCCTACAGTGTGTTGTTTTCATTCAGATAGAAATGTTCAAGACAAAGCCACACTATAATCTATATTTTGATTTGCCAACAGCAGGCAGGGGCCAAGGAACACGTGTATGTGTACACACATTTATATATCCTCTGCGTGTGTGCATTTTACATGAAGTTGGTACCTGTTATACCTTTAATTTTTCATTCCATTGCTAAGTGTGTGTAATTAGTTTAGGTGCATAAAAAAGAATGTGGCTCCTCATTATCCAATATTTTTTCTAAAAGCAACAATTCATCTGCTATATCATTAGAAGAATATAATTACATGAGCTTCTTTTCAAGTTCCAATGCCAACTCTATTAGAGCCCATAATTTAAAACAATGTGCCAGGTTTGGTTGAAACCCAACTCTGTTAATTCTTTGGGATAATTAGGCTGTGTCTTAGTATGCTTAGTGGTAGCCAGGGAATCCAGAGGACTTAATGAAGCTCCCAATCGCATCCTTAACATTCCCAAGATTATACCATGAATTGGATACAATACTGAGACTGAAAAAGTCATGTTGCAATTCACAGGTATCACTACACCATCACCTGTATGCATCCTGAAGGAAGGTTCCAAGGAATTGAATTTCTCTGTTGGTTATTAATGCAGCTAAGAAGTGTTTTTAGAAAGAATGAGGCTAGTTACCTTCCTTCCCAGGCTGGGCTTCACCAGTTATTATCAAAACCATGATGGTGTTCTGTAAATCTAGAAATACTGCTTTCTGGGTCTATTTTTTTTTTTTTCCAAGACAGGGTCTTGCTTATTGCCCAGGGTTGAGTGCAGTAGCTATTCACAGACGTGGTCCCATGACTAATCAGCATGGGAATTTTGACCTGCTCCGTTTCCAGCCGGACCCGTTTACCCCTCCTTAGGCAAATGGTGATTTGCTCCAAGGAGGTCACCATATTGATTCTGAACTTAGTGCAGACAACCAACTGGCATAGCACACTACAGCCCAGAACTCATGGATTCAAGCAATCCTCCCACATCAGCCTCCCAGGAATCTGGGACTGCAGTCATGCACCACCACACCTGGCCATTCTGGGTCTATTTGTGCCACAGTTAACATGCTTCTGGAAACTGACACCAGCCACCCAAGAGGGATTAATTTATGAACCAGTGCCCAGTCTATATTTGACTAGAGAGCCAAACCTTTGCACAGGATGTTCTAGTTAATTTATAAATCAGTTAGCTATAAATTTATACCTCAGCAGCATGATCCCAGAATTAGAAAAGTGAGAGTTGAATGCCCTTGAGTACTTCCAATGAGTCTGTTGAAATACCTACATACTTCTCTTAAAACTATTTCTAGAATGGTTCATCAAAATTAGAATACTCTCACACTGCTTTGGAGACAAGCTGACAATTTGTTACCCTCTCCTTTCTCTTTAGTAGACCCTGTTGAGAGCTCACTCTCCTGAAAAGAGAATACAAACAAGGTTGATACAGACAATTCTATATTCAGGTGTCCCTGTGTCTCCAGACGTCCAGTCACTTTATTTTTTATTTCTTCTACAGCTTTTGTCTTCATTTTATCATAGGAAAAAAAAATTGAAAATAGCGGAAAGGGCCAACAAGGGTAAAATTACATTGTACCCATAAGACAAAATATTTTGTAGCCATCACAATTATTTAAAACAATTTTAATAACATGAGAAATGCTTATGCCATAATGTTACTGGAAAGGGTTTCCAATGCAGACCTCAAGACAGGGTTCTTGGACTTTGTACAAGAAGGAATTCAGGGCAAGTCCACAGAGTAAAGTGGAAGTAAGTTTATTAGAGAAGTAAAGAAACAAAAGAATGGCTACTGCATAGGCAGAGCAGAAGCATGTGCTGCTTGACTAAGGATACTTATTGTTATTTCTTGATTATATGCTAAACAAGGGGTGAATTAATCATGAGTTTTCTGGGAAAGAGTTGGGCAATTCTCAGAACTGAGGGTTCCTCTCCTTTTTAGACTATACAGGGTAACTTCGGGAAATTGGCAGTCATGGCACTGGTGGAAATATCTTTTAGCATGCGAATGTGCTATAATTAGCATATAATGAACAATGAGGATGACCAGAGTTCACTCTTGTCGCCATCTTAGTTTTGGTGGGTTTTGGCTGCCTTCTTTACTGCATGCTGTTTTATCAGCCAGCTCTTTGTCATCTGTATCTGTATCTTCTGCGACCTTCTATCTCATCCCGTGACTTAGAATACCTAACTCTCTGGGAATTCAGCCCAGCAGGTCTCAGCCTTCTTTTACCCAGCCCTTATTCGAGATGGAGTTATTCTGGTTCAAATACCTCTGACAATAATGTTATGAAAAAAAAAAGAAAAACATTCAGCATGACCCCAACTATGTATATAACTAGAGGGATGTATGCCAATGCATAGACAGTAATTACATCTGGTTGGGAGGTTTTTCTAAATTATTTTAATTTTTTCCTCTTTTCTGTGTTTTTAGAGTTTTCAACAATGAACATGTATTTATTAACTTGAGAAATTTGTATTCAGAGCCTATTAAGTACCCAACAATGATGGGTGTTGGGTAATCATCACTTTTGTGCTCAGGAAAATAACCAATGCACACCATGTAAAAAAAAAAAAAAAAGAAAAGAAAAGAAACAGGCCGGGCAGGGTGGCTCATACCTGTAATCCTAGCACTTTGGAAATCCGAGGTAGATGGATCACTTGAGGTTGGGAGTTCAAGACCAGCCTGGCTAACATGGAGAAACCACACCTTTACTAAAAATACAAAAAAAAAAAAATTAGCCAGATGTGGTGATGGCACATACCTGTAATCCCAGCTACTCGGGAAGCTGAGAGAGGAGAATTGCTTGAACCCAAGAGGCTGAGGTTGCAGTGAGCTGAGATCGCACCACTGCACTCCAGCCTGCGGAACAGAGTGAGACTGTAAAAAAAAAAATTATTTCTGGAATTTTTATATGCCTGAAATGACCCAAAGCCTATGGATTCTGTGACTGCTGTGCTCAAGGAAGTTTTCTTTCCAATTCTCTGGGAAACAGTGAAAGGAGAAGTGCAAATGATGGGAAATTTGGCTTAACTTAATTTTACATACCAGGAGCAGTAGAACTGCTCATAACAGTCACATATGAGGAAGTGGTGACCAGTGCGTTTTACCCACACATTTTCTGGTTTATTCTGTTCACCAGAAATTTCCTTTGCTTTTTCTTCTGCTAGAATGCACATGCAGTCACATAACCTCCCCAGATGGCTACACTTGAGGAGTAATGGCCTGTGGCTAACACTGATCTTTGATCTCTAAAAGAGGCATCTTGTCCACAAAACCTTTGCATCTGCATTGCTGAAAGGCGATTTCACTTCCTCCAAAACGAGGCAAGAAGGAAGTCCCACATCTGCTTTCTTTCTCTGTTTGATCCCGTGCAACCTTCTGACACCATCTCATCCAGAGCCAAAGCATGATTCATGTCTGAGGTTCACTCCTGTGTGGGCTTGGAACTAGTCCAGGTGTTTGCTACTTCTGCATTTCACCTGTGATCTCAAATGGGGAGGAAAGTCTAGTTGCATTTGCTGGGACAATTCCCTTTCAGCAGGAATCTAGGAGAACAGTGTGAAAGCTGATAGTTAAATAATCACTAAGTAGATCGGAGAACTATGGCTTTTATAGACTTTGGAGTGAACTTTGTTATGGAAAATCTGGAAGGTCTCAGTGAACAAAGTGACAGTATTTTCCTTCTGAACAACTGATTCCTAACCTGATGTTTTAAGAGTTGCGTTGTCAGCTTCTTCCCCTCAGAGGCTCTTTCCACCAGGGTCATTTGGGTACTGACCACAAAACTAAGAACATAGTGATTTCATGACTCCGTGTAATCTGGAGGGTGAAAACAGAAGGCCCATATGAAATGTTGCATATTCCCATTAAAAGCTAGGCCAGAATTTGATGGCCTAAGCCATTTCATTTCTGTTCTCTATTAGCACTCTTTTTCTTCCTCTCTCTTCCATTTTCCTTGATCCATTTTCTCATCTTCAGTTATTCCTTTTCTGCTCTTTTTTTTTTCCTCTTTAATATTTGCAAATTTAGATTTGGAGGACACATGTCAGTGTGGTACTTCCACTGGACTAAAGAGGAGCTGGTTTGAGGGTGTGAGCCTATAGTCTCAGCTATTCAAGAAGCTGAAGCAGGAGGATCCCTTGAGCCCAGGAGTTCAAGGCCAGCCTGGCTAACATAGTGAGACACTGGAAAAAAAAAAAAATCAAGAAAGCAAGAAGGAAGGAAGAAGGAAGGAAGGAAGGAAAGAAGGAAGGAAGGAAGGAAGGAAGGAAGGAAGGGAGAGAGGGAAGGAGGAAGAAAAAAGAAAAGAAAGAAA